GTAGGACATGCCCCTTAGCTCCGAGACTAGTTTTGTTGTAAACCTTTGCACTTTCTCTAATTTCTTTACGTGCTTAGCTAGGTATGGGTTCCAAACTGGTGCTGCATACTCCAGTATAGGCCTAATGTACATGGTGTACAGGGTCATGAACGATTCCTTATTAATATGTCGGAATACTGTTCTTAGGTTTGCTAGGTGCCCATATGCTGCAGCAGTTATTTGGCTGATGTGCGCCTCAGAAGATGTGTCCGGTGTTATACTCACCCCAAGATCATTTTCGTTGAGTGAAGTTTGTAGTCTCTGGCCCCCTTGACTGTGCTCCGTCTGCGGTCTTCTTTGCCCTTCCCCACTCTTCATGACTTTGCACTTGGTGGGATTGAACTCAAGGGGCCAATTGCTGGACCAGGCCTGCAGCCTGTCAGATCCCTTTGTAGTTCTGCTTGGTCCTCGTCCGATCGAATTCTTCTCATCTACTTCACATCATCTACAAACAGGGACACTTCTCAGTCTATTCCTTCCGTCATGTTGTCCACAAATACCAGAAAACAGCACCGGTCCTAGGACTGACCCCTGTAGAACCCAGCTCATCACAGGCGCCCACTCTGACACCTCGCCACATACCATGACTCGCTGTTGTCTTCCTGACAGGTATTCCCTAACCACTGCAGTGCCTTCCATGATATCCCTGCCTGGGCCTCTAGCTTTTGCTCTAAACTCTTGCGTGGAACTATGTCAAACGCCTTCTTACAGTCCAAGAAAATGTAATCTACCCTCTCTTGTCTTACGGCTGCCACCCTGTCAAAGAGCTCCAGTAGGATTATGACACAGAATTTCCTGTCCCTGAAACCGTGCTTCACCACTCTTCTCCTGATCATCTTCTCCATGACTCTGCATACTATACATGTATGTACTCACCTAATTGTACTCACCTAATTGTGGTTGCAAGGGCCGAGACTCAGCTCCTCTCCTGGCCTCTTCACTGAACGCTACTTGGTCCTCTTCCTGCTCTATGAGTTTTATCATACCTCGTCTTAAAACTATGTATGGTTCCTGCCTCCACTACATCGCTTGCCAGACTATTCCACTTCCTAGCAACTCTGTGGCTGAAGAAATACTTCCTAACATCTCTTTGACTCATCTGAGTCTTCAGCTTCCAATTGTGACCCCTTGTTTCTGTGTCCCATCTCTGGAACATCCTGTCTCTGTCCACCTTGTCTATTCCTCTCAGTATTTTGTATGTCGTTATCATGTCTCCCCTGACCCTCCTGTCCTCCAGTGTCGTCAGACCGATTTCTCTTAACCTTTCTTCATAGGACATTCCCCTTAGCTCTGGAACCAGCCTTGCTGCAAACCTTTGCACTTTCTCAAATTTCTTGATGTGTTTGACGAGGTGTGGGTTCCAATCCGGTGCTGCATACTCCAGTATGGGCCTAACATGCACAGTGTATAAAGCCTTGAACGATTCCTTACTGAGGTACCGGAACGTTATTCTCAGGTTTGCCAGGCGCCCATTTGCCGCAGCAGTTATCTGGTTAACGTGTACTTTTGGCGATGTACTCGGTATTATACTCACTCCTAGATCTTTCTCCTTGAGTGAGGTTTGCAGTCTTCGGCCTCCTAGCCTATACTCTGTATGCGGTCTTCTTTGCCCTTCTCCGATCTTCATGGCGGGGTTAAGTTCTAGGAGGTAGTTGCTTGATCACGCATCCAGCCTGTCCAGGTCTCTTTGTAGACCTGTCTGGTCCGCATCTGATTTAATTCTCCTCATTAACTTTACATCATCTGCAAACAGGGACACTTCTGAGTCTATCCCTTCCGTCATGTCGTTCACACATACCAAGAATAGCACTGGTCCCAGGACTGACCCCTGTGGAGAAATTTTCTAAAGGAGGGGGGTATCAGCCCCCTTCAGCCCCTTTCAGCCCCTTTCAGCCCTGAAGGGCCCAGCTCTCTCAGAAGGGGCAAGCATCTTGTTTACTGCTACAGCAAGTAATTGATCCCAGATGCAATACGAGTATGTGACGTGGTCAAGCGACCGCCGCTCCATGCAAGAGTCCAGTGTTGCAAAGTGTAGCTTATCAAAAGACAGTCCATCTCTTACCCAAGCAGGACAATTAAGGAAAATCCTGCTCCCACTTTATTACCATGGTAAAGATAGTGGACATTGTTGTCTATGCTTAAGGCAGCAAGAATCAAACATTCTGCTTTGCTTCCTGGAGGAAGTGGCAAGGAAGCAAAAGTACTAGGTCAGCTTTTCCTTTATGTTCGAGGGGCATTGCAGCGGCGTAGGACGCTGTGAGGTCAGATTACTTTTCACCCTACTGAGAGTCACACTGACGCCAGGATAACCAACAAAGAACACTGATCCGTGCGTTAGTGTGAACAAAGTGCCTCACAAAGCACGATAAATACTTGCAGAGAAGTGTGATCAGCTTCTTAAGTGGAACATAGTGTACCAGTGTGCATATTCCTAGACTATGGAAGACGTGGACATCCAAGGACTCTTCTGTTTCTATCAAGTCACCGATACCTGTCGAGGGTGTAAAGAACACCATAGGTCACGCTACAAGTGCAAGGTAGGTTACAGATTTTTTGTAGTATGGGGGACTGCGCAGTTCTTGTGTCGCAAGGAGTTTGCAATCAACCCATAGTCAGCAGTGAGGTGCGGACTTTTGAGTCCACACAAGTAAGTCATCAGCAATCAGTGAATGAAATATGCTGACAAAACACCTCCTAGGGGTAAATTATTATTAACATAATATACTCTATTACAGCCCGTTGTGAAGTGGACATGATAGCTTCTCAAGACCTCGCCTGCAGGGGGGCCTGTGCAGGCGATGAGCTGTCTAACAGCTAAGTACCCCTCATATTTAATCTTTAACCTTAGCTGGTAAACCATTTCTCAACAACCCCTGTGAGATCCCGCTCATCACCGGCGCCCACTGTGATACCTCATCACGGACCATGACTCACTGTTGCCTCCCTGTTAGGTAATCTCTGATCCATTGCAGTGCCCATCCTGTTATATGTGCCTGTTCCTCTAGCTTCTGTACTAATCTCTTGTGAGGAACTGTGTCGAAGACCTTCTTGCAGTCCAAGAAAATACAATCAACCCACCCCTCCCTCTCATTTCTTACTTCAGTTACCTTGTCATAACACTCTAGTAGGTTTATGGCACAGGATTTGCCTTCCATTAATCCATGCTGGCTGTCGTTTATAACCTTGTTCCGCTCCAGGTGCTCCACCACTCTCCTCCTGATAATCTTTTCCAAGACTTTGCATACTATATATGTCAGTGACACTGGTCTATAATTTAGTGCTTCACTTCTGTCTCCTTTTTTAAAGATTGGGGGCTACATTTGCCATCTTCCATACTTCAGGTAGTTGCCCAGTTTCAAGGGAAATGTTGAAGATTTTGGTTAGTGGCACATGTAATGTCTCTGCTCCCTCTCTAAGGACCCACAGAGAGATGTTTTTGGTCCCACCGCCTTTGAGGTATCAAGGTCACTTAGGAGCTTCTCCACCTCATCAGTTGTGTGTAATTCATCCAAAGCTTGTCGGTATATCCCTTGTTGATGTACACAACTGTTTTGTCTTCCCAGTGTCCCTTCAGCCTCCACTGTAAATACTTCCTGAAATCTCATGTTGAGCTCCTCACAAACTTCTTGGTCGTTTCCTGTGAGCTCCCCACCTTTCCTCAGCCTGATTACCTGGTCCTTGACTGTTGTCTTCCTCCTGATGTGGCTGTAAAGCAGTTTCAGGTTAGACTTGACTTTTGATGCTGTCGTTTTTGTACTGCCGCTGCGCCTCTCTCCTTATCTGCACATGGTTGTTTCTGCCTCGTCGACTAATCTCTTTATTTTCCCTAGTCCTTTGCCTTCTGTAATTTTTCCATTCTCTAGAGCACTTAGTTTTTGCCTCCCTACACCTGCAGGTGAACCAAACGCTCGTTCTGTCCTTCCCATTATTTTTATTACCCTTGGGGAACAAACCTTTCCTCTGCCTCCTTGCATTTTGTTGTTACGAAGTCCATCATTTCGTTTACTGATTTTCCTACCAACTCCTGTTCCCACTTAACCTCCTGCAGGAAGGTCTTCATTCCTGTGTAGTCTCCCCTTTTATAGTTAGGCTTTTACCTTTCTACTCCTGTTACCCTCTCCACTTTTAGCTCCACGATGTATTCAAAACTCATAACCACGTAGTCACTAGCTCCAAGGGGTCTTTTATATGTGATGTGCTCAATGTCTGAGTTACTCAGGGTGAACACAAGGTCTAGTCTCGCTGGTTCATCCTTCCCTCCCTCTCTGGTAGTGTCCCTAACATGTTGGTGCATGAAGTTTGCCAGCACTACGTCCATCATCTTGGCTCTCCATGTTTCGGGACCCCCATATGGCTCCAGGTTTTCCCAATCAATCTTCCTGTGATTGAAGTCGCCCATAACCAGTAACTTTGCTCTACTCGAGTGAGCCCTTCTTGTCACTTCAGCTAGTGTGTGTGTGTGTGTGTGTGTGTGTTCGTGCATGTTCATTAAAAATTATGTAAGAATGAGCAATCTTATTGAGATAATATGATTTTATGCAATTATTTATGTGTGTGAGGCTGGTGATAGACTCTGCTATTTGGAGATAGACATCATCTAGTTTGCTACAGTCTACCTTCCTGCTTTCTCACATTATGCAGTTCTGTAGTTTTCTGAAACAAAATTCGAGGATGATCACATGATAAAAAACAAGTAATATTTATTAATTTATTGTGTGCTAAGGAAAAAAATAAAAACTGCGAGAGTAAAAATAAGCGAATATTCACATCCTGTGCAATCCCGACTTTTTATACACATTTTTCGTTTTGATGTTTATCAATGTGGTATTTTTACATTATATGAAGAAGTGGCATTATGTACATCGAGAGTCAAAAAATGTTACTAATTCCTTCCATTAAGGAAGAGAGTTTACGAACTATGCAAGTGCCAGTGAACTATCTTCTGAACCTTCTGCTTGAAATTATGAAGAGAGAAAGACAGGAGTGGAGGACTTGTGAGTCTGGTTCAGACGGGATGTGAACACTTCGAGTCCCAGGACCACGAGACCAAGTACCAGGCCGCCAGCCAGCACGGTAAACATACCCTGAAACGCACAACATGAGGAAGAATTCATACATGTTTATTACCATTTTTCAACCTGAGACAATTCCCACCGAGGTAGGGTGACCCGAAAAAGAGGAAACACTTTCATTATAATTCACCCCAGAGGCGTGCTTACACTACAGTTAATAACTGCAACATATCCCCACAGCTTCTTCAGAGTGCAGGCACTATACTACCCACCTCCAGGAATCAAGTCCGGCTAACCGGTTTCCCCTGAATCCTTTCATAAATGTTACAATGCTCACACTCCAACAGCACTTCAAGTAATACAAATCATTTGCCTCCACTCGCTCCTAAGACCCTCATGAATGCTTTCTGGAAAGTCCAAGTCCCTCACACACAAAACCTCCTTTACCCCCTCCCTCCAACCTTTCCTAGGTCGACCCTGCCAAGTTTTTCCTTCACTACCTTCACTCCAAGTCATCCTAATTTGTTCCATCCTCTCTGTATGTCCGAACCACCTCAACTACATCTCCTCAGCCCTCTGTATATTACTTTTAGTAACCTCGTGCCTCCTAGTCTCCATCCACGAATTCTCTACATAATATTCAAACCACACATTAACCTCAGACACGACATATCTACTGCCTTCAGCCTCTTCCAAGTAGTGCACTTTGCGACTGTATGGCTCGGAAGTAACACCTAGGTGTTACTTCTCGTTCCCCTCCTCTCCACTTCCGGTCCCCCTCCTTTCCAAGCCCGCGACCGCCCGCCCCGCGATCCATCCCGGCCAGCCTTGCACCCGCCCGCCCGCGCTCGCCCGCAGCCCCGTCCGCCTGCGCCCGCGCCAACCTGCGCCGCCCCTGCCGCACCTTCTGCAGCGACTTCTGCTGCGCCCCCCCCCATCGCCCCCGCTCCTCGAATTTTTTTCGATCTTTTTTTAATTTAATTTTTTAGTATATCGCTATGAGGTGTGGTAAAGGTTGCCCCTATGGGTACTCCTATGGGAAGACCTTCCCACTCCCCCTAAGATCCAATTTCCAAAATTTTACAGGGTTGCCAAATTTCCATTTATTTTTCGAATATTTCATTTTTCTCGATATTGGTATTACATACAAACTCAATATTCATGTTCCATCTTCACGGACCAAGATTACCCTCCACTTCCTCGGATCAAGATCTCCCTCTCCATCTCACACCTCCCACCATTCACTACCATCTCCCCAAAATCCCTGCTTTACATCCTCATACCTACATAACCCATACTCAATATTCCTGCTCCGTCTCCTTGGGTCAAGATTTACTATCCATTTATATGGGGGGGTGCTCATGCATATGCAGGTCTAAACAAGGTTGGTGTGACGTCACTGACAGCTGAGTAAACACAGGTGGGGTGAGATGTCACGTGATAACCGCCCGTCGTCTCGGGGTACCACAGGTTATATAAAGTAATATCAAGCTGGGTCACTCTGTGTCCTCTCATTAAGTTAAATGAACTAAAAATGCAAGATAAATTTCTGATAATACAATTTTATTTCATATACAACATATGGGAAACATTACATTTTCTCCAACTAAACAACTCATTACATTTTCTCCAGTTCAACAGAGAGAAACCATTACATTTTTCTCTAACTCAATCACAAAAATCTACATTTTTTTTTACACGATACGACAAAAAATTAAATTGTCACAAAATAAGATTTCAGTTCACAACTTCCACTTTCTACACCTTACAACTCCCCTCAAGTCTACAGTTCTGCAAATTGACATGGACTGCCTACGAGTCTTATCTGAGTCACTCCTAAGCATCGTCTGAGACTATAACCTGTTCTCTCTCTCTACCTCAACACCACCAATCAACCGTAACATTGTCATAGAGAGAATTAAACCCTAGTTATATAAAATATGCACACTCAATCCATTCTTTAAAATATTCACTCTTAACTCACAATTTTTCCCGTTTTATTAAGTCATCAAAAAGTACAAAAAAATATTTTTACATACCCAACACCTCACTCATAACCAACAACATTTCACAACACCCAAACATCTCACTCTTAGTTTCTTCTTTTTAACTTAAAAGAACATAAAGTGCATCATGTCTGAACAACCGTGTTCATGCCAGGTGGGGTGTGACGTCACTCACCGCCAATGTGATCTTATCTGAGTTACCTCAGATAACATCACAAGTCACCCCCATCCACCACCATCACCCTCACCCAATTCTTCCATAGAGAGAATTAATGCCTAGACTAATACAAGAAAAAGGTATGAGTCACACATACTTTTCACACTCAATTCACTAGTCTCAATTCAACAAAAAAGATACAAATTTCACTCGTAGCTCACAATGTTCCCGTTTTTATCTCACTCATAACCCACAAACACCCACAACCCACAACACCCACAACAACCCACAACTTATAACCTCTTTTCGGTATCTCTAGTTCAGCAACAACACCCACATCACTTAGCATTTTATTCACAATTTTTCCTCTTTTGATACAAAATTTTTCTCAAATGATTAATGGCACTAATACACATTTTCACTCTTAACCAAGGATAACCCCAAAAATTTCCCCTTTATCGTTAAATACAACAAGACACAAATTTCACTTATAACCCACAACTCCCCCAACATCTATTAATTTTCACTTGTCTCAAACAATATCCACAATTTTCCCCCGTTTGACTCTTTCATCAGAAAATCACCCACAACACTCACAATGTTTTTCACCAATACAAGAAAAAAAAGGTACAAGTTTTACACACACACACACACACACACACACACACACACACACACACACACATACACACACACTTTTCTCCATAACTGTTAAGAAATATTTTCTCTCATCAACAACAACCTGGAACATCTAACTACGTATTGAGATGTTGAAGGTTATTGTTGATGAGAGAGCATATTTCTTAACAGTTATTGAGAAATGTGTGTGTGTGTGTGTGTGTGTGTGTGTGTGTGTGTGTGTGTGTGTGTGTGTGTGTGTGTGTGTGTGTGTGTGTGTGTAACCTGTATCTTTTTCCTGGTATTGGTGAAAAAAAATGTAAGTGTTGTGGTTGATTTTCTGATGAAATAGTGTAACGGGGGGATCTATGGATATTATTGAGGCAAAGTGAATCTTTTGTCGTATTAACGAAATCTTACCTCGTATTATGTAAAATTGTGACAAGTGAATCTTTTGTTGTATTTATCGAAATTGAGGAATTTCTGGGTTATTCTGGGTTAAGAGTGAAATTGTGTATTAGCGACATTAAACATCTGAGAAAAAAAATTCGTATCGAAAGAGGAAAAATTTGAATTATGAGTGAAATTTGTATATTTTTGTTGAATTGAGATGGATGAATTGAGGGTGAATAGTGTGGGACTTGTATCTTCATTCTTGAATTGACAAAAAATTGTTAGTGTTCTGGGCGATTTTCTGATGAAATAGTAACACGGAGAAAATTGTGGATATTATGAGACTAGTGAATCTTTCGACGTATTTAGCGAAAAAGAGAATCTTTTTGCGGTTAGTGAAAATGTGATGTGGGTAGAATTTGGGAGTATTCAAATGTTATTTAGAAGTAATCAAACGATGTTTTAGGAGCATTCAAAGGTGTTAGAGTGTGCTTCTGAAGGTGTTCAAAGTAAAGTGTGGTGTCTGTGTGTTAGTTTTGGTAATGTCGCATGTCATACGTGTATTAGTTAGTTTTTTTTGTGCTAATGTTGTAAAGTCTGGAGAATGAAGGGGTAGTTTGGTGGATGAAATGTAATTTCAGTTAATGAAATGTGTAAGTGTGGATGAGTTAGAGATGTCAAATATTATTTGGGAGTATTCAAATGATGTTTGAGACTATTCAAAGGTGTTTGAGTGTTCAAATGATCTATAAGATTGTTGTGTATAAGAGTGTTGTTCATATGATGTATGAGGGTGTTGTTCATATGATGTATGAGGGTGTTGTTCATATGATGTATGAGGGTGTTGTTCATATGATGTATGAGGGTGTTGTTCATATGATGTATGAGGGTGTTGGTCATATGATGTATGAGGGTGTTGTTCATATGATGTATGAGGGTGTTGTTCATATGATGTATGAGGGTGTTGTCATATGATGTATGAGGGTGTTGTTCATATGATGTATGAGGTGTGTCATATGATGTATGAGGGTGTTGTCATATGATGTATGAGGGTGTTGTTCATATGATGTATGAGGGTGTTGTTCATATGATGTATGAGGGTGTTGTTCATATGATGTACGAGGGTGTTGTTCATATGATGTATGAGGGTGTTGGTCATATGATGTATGAGGGTGTTGTTCATATGATGTATGAGGGTGTTGGTCATATGATGTATGAGGGTGTTGTTCATATGATGTATGAGGGTGTTGTTCATATGATGTATGAGAGTATTTGGTGGTGTTCAAATGATGTATGAGTGTGTTTTAGAAGGTGTTCAAAGTAAAGTGTGGTGTTTGTGTGTTAGTTTTGGTAATGTCTCATGTCATAAGTGTATGAATTAGTTTTTCTGTGCTAATGTTGTAAAATCTGGAGAATGAGGGAGTTGTTTGGGGGATGAGATGTAATTTCAGTTAATGAAATATGTAAGTGTGGATGAGTTAGAAATGTCAAATGTTATTTGGAAATATTCATAATCTTATTTTGGAGGTTTATCAGTGTTGTTTGGAAGTGTTCTAATGTAATTTTGGAAATATTCTGTTATCCCAAAACCTACTTTAAATCTTGAGTATAATGTTTTGAGGGAATGTGTCTAAAATGTGATTATATCATGTCTTAGTTATATGTGTTCAAGATATGTTATAGTGCTCATATTATGTTATAGTTGGTGGTGATGTGGGTTATAAGTGCAAAAAAAATCTTTTTTATTATATAAAAATTGAGACGAGTTAAAGATTTTGTTGTATTAACGAAATCTTAATTCGTAATATGTAGAATTGTGCCAAGTGAATCTTCTGTTGTATTTATCGAGATTGAGGATTTTTTGGGTTATTCTGGGTTAAGAGTGAAATTGTGTATTAGTGACAATAAACATTTGAGAAAAAAATCGTATCGAATGAGGAAAAAATGTGTGTTATACGTGAAATTTGTATCTTTTTGATGAATTAAGACGGGTGAATTGAGGGTGAATAGTGTGTGACTTGTGCCTTTTTTTTCTTGTATTGGCGAAAAATTGTAAGTGTTGTGGGTGATTTTCTGATGAAAAAGTAAAACGAGGAAAATTGTGGATATTATTTGAGACAAGTGAAAATTGTTAGATGTTGGGGGAGTTGTGGGTTATGAGTGAAAAAAAGTGAAATTTGTGTCTTGTTATATTTAACAAAAAGGAATTTTTTTTAGGTTATCCTGGGTTAAGAGTGAAAACATGTTTTAGTGCCATTAAACATTTGAGAAAAAATTATATTGAAGAAGGAAAATTGTGAATAAAATCGTAAGAGATGTGGGTGTTGTTGTCGAACTAGAGATACCGAAATAGAGGTTTTAAATCGTGAGTTGTTTCGAGTGTTGTGTGTTGTGGGTGTCTGTGGGTTATGAGTGAGAAAAATGGGAAAATTGTGAGTTATGAGTGAAATTTGTATCTTTATTTTTTTGAATTGAGACAAGTGAATTGAGGGTAAATAGTGTGTGTGACTTATATATTTTTTCTTGTATTAGTCTAGGCATTAATTCTCTCTATGGAAGAATTGGGTGAGGGTGATGGTGGTGGATGGGTTGTGACGTCACACCCCACCTGTCATGAACACGGTTGTTCAAACATGAGGCACTTTTAGTTCGTTTAAGTTAACAAGAGGAAAGTAATAGTGAGATGTTTCGGTGTTGTGAAACGTTATAGGTTATGAGTGACGTGCTGGGTATGTAAAAATATTTTTTTGGGGGGCTTTTTGATGAATTAATAATAACGGGAAAAATTGTGAGTTAAGAGTGAATATTTTAAAGAATGGATTGAGTGTGCATATTTTATATAACTAGAGTTTAATTCTCTCTATGACAATGTTATGGTTGATTGGTGGTGTTGAGGTAGAGAGAGAGAACAGGTTATAGTCTTAGACGATGCTTTGGAGTGACTCAGATAAGACTCGTAGGCAGTTCATGTCAATCGGCAGAAATGTAGACTTGAGGGGAGTTGTAAGGTGTAGAAAGTGGAAGTTGTGAACTGAAATCTTAATTCGTGACAAGTGAATCTTTTGTCGTATTGTGTAAAAAAAGAAAAAAAATGTGGATTGCTGTCATTGAACTAGAGAAAAATGTAATGTTTTCTCTCTGTTGAACTGGAGTAAATGTAATGAGTTGTTGAGCTGGAGAAAATGTAATATTTCCCATATGTTTTATATGAAATAAAGTGTATTAACGAAAAATTGTCTTATCAGAAATTTGTATTGAATATCCATAACAAATAAAAACTAGATGAAAAAAATTGTGTATTAATATTATCCTGCAGTTTAGCTAATGTTTGCTCGACATGATTTATCTTACATTCTTAGTTCATTTAACCTAATGAAAGGACACAGAGTGACCCAGCTTGATATTACTTGATATAACCTGTTGTACCCCGAGTGAGGTCATGGGCGGTTATGTGACGTCACAGCCCACCTGTGTTTACTCAGCAGTCAGTGACGTCACACCCCACCTGTGTTTACTCAGCAGTCAGTGACGTCACACCCCACCTGTGTTTACTCAGCAGTCAGTGACGTCACACCCCACCTGTGTTTACTCAGCAGTCAGTGACGTCACACCCCACCTGTGTTTACTCAGCAGTCAGTGACGTCACACCCCACCTGTGTTTACTCAGCAGTCAGTGACGTCACACCCCACCTGTGTTTACTCAGCAGTCAGTGACGTCACACCCCACCTGTGTTTACTCAGCAGTCAGTGACGTCAACACCCCACCTGTGTTTACTCAGCAGTCAGTGACGTCACACCCCACCTGTGTTTACTCAGCAGTCAGTGACGTCACACCCCACCTGTGTTTACTCAGCAGTCAGTGACGTCACACCCCACCTGTGTTTACTCAGCAGTCAGTGACGTCACACCCCACCTGTGTTTACTCAGCAGTCAGTGACGTCACACCCCACCTGTGTTTACTCAGCAGTCAGTGACGTCACACCCACCTTGTTTAGACCTGCATACGTATGAGCACCACCCATATGAGAGACCCAAAAATTGATCAAAGGAACTGGATAGTAAATCTTGATCCAAGGAGATGGAGCAGGAATATTGAGTATGGGTTATCCAATCTTTCATTATCTAAATTTTTTGTTACCCTCATCACCTCTCTGTTTCCTATGTTCACTTTGAATTTCACTCTTTTACATTTTTACATACCCTCCCAAACTTGTGCAACAACTTTTGCAACTTTTTTTCGTAATATCCTAAAACAACAGTGTCATCAGCAAAATGCAACTGTGACAACTCCCACTTTGTTAGATTCTCCACCTTCCAATCCCACACCTTTTGTCAACACCCCTGTAGTCACTATAAATATATAAAACATTTGTAAGTATATTAAACATCTACATTATATTATATTAAACATCTATAATTACATTAAAAATCTGTAATTATGTTAAATACCTATAATTATATTAAACATCTATAAATATATTTAACAACCATTGTGAATAACCTCCCTTTCTCCTACATACCCTAACCTAAGCCTCATTATCCTCGTAAAAACTCTTAACTGATTTCAGTAAACTACCACCAGTTCCATACACTTGCAACATCTACCACATCGCTTCCCTATGCATCTTATCATATGCCTTTGCCAAATCCAACTACTGTACTGATTGTAATAAAGCCAGACCATGCTACGGTTAACTCTGGATCATTACAATATCAATATTTAATAATTGTGTAGGACGAACCAATAGGTTATCCAATTTTTCAATAAAAATTTGTTAGTCTGTCATGAATTAACAGACTGATTTAGCTCCTCATTACAAAATTATTTTATGTTATTTATGTTTGTCTTTACCCAGAGGTTAGCGAGGGAGAGAGTTGTTTTGACAGTGATCCTGGTGGGAGGTCGTTCACATCTGGTGGAGTTGATACTGAGTTGCTTCATCCAGTAGTCATATAGACCAGCTTCTGTCACCAACTTGATTCTGTGTGTTGTAAAATTCAAAGATTGGCAAGTAAATAATAGAATATAACTTAAGCATTGAACATTAAAATGGTATGAAATACCGACAGGTTGTTAGGTAAGACACATATGCAACAGTTAGGTATCTTTATTTCGAAATAAAGATACCTAACTGTTGCATATGCGTCTTACCTAACAACTTAAGCATTAAATTTTAACAACGTGACTACCCAGAGAAGAACAACTTATTCATTCTCCCTCATCTCACAGATGTCATTTCACAGCTGTCATTTCACTGCTCTCATTTCACAGCTGCCATTTCAGTAGAGCATGGATTTCACACTAACTTTACATGTGCCCTCTTCACCCATACTGCAATTCCTAGGATCAAGATCTACATCCTAGCCCCCATGTGGAAATTTATTGAGACCAAAAATTCCACCATTGGATTCTTTTGTAAATAAGTTGATGCTGCAGACACAGGAACCCTTAACACCCACTCAAACAACGACACCAGCAGAGAAATCGTAAGATTAAATATACTAAGATAAACTTACATTTAAGAATGAATTAGGTATGCTTAAACTGTTAGTAAATAATATTAGGATTAATATGGTAGCCTTAGACCTTAATATTAGGTAATATTAAGTTGTATTAAGTAATGAGATTAGGTAAATTGTGGTAGCTAGCATCTCGCACAAGCAACTGGCAAAGTCCTTTCATGATCACTGCAGCTCTAGAATAACGATCATCCTGGTAGAACACAGGTTTCCACGACCAGGAGGTAAGTACAAAATCACGGCCAATGATTACAACCAAATTGCTCGAAGTATAAATTGTAGGCTATTGAAGAAAGGCAATCATATTGATTGCATCCACTTTGTAAATTTGCGTGGTAAACCGTTTCAGTTAGGTTTGGAGGCTGACGGTGTACATTTTGATGAAGAGTCGAGTGAGTATTTGACAAAGAAAATCGTTACACTCATCGAAGAGTGTCGAGACGCATCTGTTCATATCTAACTTCATATCGTGCTGTTGGGTGGGCTAATTAAAGTACGAATTAGTGTCGCACTCTAAAACACAACTATGGGAATAAATCAAGTACGACCACAGAAGAAAATCAAGTACGATCATGGAATAAAATCAAGTACCAACTGCTTCACCTCTAATGAAACTAAAGTGATCTATGGCAGTGCATAAGTGACGCTTAAACAAAGCACGTGATGAGTGCCAAGAGATTGGTCATAACGTGAATGTGGATTGTGAAGATCTACAAAGCTGCCTGAAGCTTTTAGAGGAAAGGATAAAGGTTTTTGAGGCAGCATATCTCACCTATGAATCACAATCCTATAAGGTAAACGAGTCTGAGGATATTGTTGGGAGCTCGTGATGAATACGAAGGTGCAAAGGCTGAGTGTACAGCAGAGATGAGACATTGTAAGTAGCACTGTCTCATCTCAGGCTGATATACCAGGTAAAGTCACCAATATGACTGGAGGTACAGGCAGCCAGACTCCAGTCAGTATGTTGCCTAGGTTGCCACCATCCAATTTACCAACGTCTGATGGTACTTTAACAGGATACATCTCATTTTGGGATCGGTTTAAGACCCAGACAGACGACAGGAATGATTTGTCGGACTCGTAAAACTATAGTAGTATTTGCAATCCCAGCTTAAGGGCAAAGTCCTAGAATTAATCAGGTGCTACCCAATCACCAGTCATGATTACAAGTATACCAAGAACTAATTAAAAAAACATGTCTGGGAATGCAGAGGAAATAAAGATAGCCATATGGTATCGGTTATTGAACTTGGAGATTTGTCGTCACGACCGTCGAAGCTTAGAGAAGTTCTGTATTGAGTTTATGAGTTTGACAAACAACCATAGCGACTTGTATGATTGGGATTATTCAGAAAGGATTGTTAGCCAGACAATTCAAAGGAAACAAGCTAGCACTACAATACATGAGTTGCATCTGAAATGCCAGACGAACCAATTTACGATATAACGAATCAATGATGGGCTAGATCTCGTGCTCATCTGATTATAGGTGAGAGAGAAGTGTCACCACCCTATAATAAAACAGATAATTACTCTAAAAACTCGGGAGATGAATCTCAAGCCCATAAGAGTGTACCATGACCAAGAAATGTCTAGTGTAAAAGCCTCTAAACAGAACCTCTAATTATACAGCACCGAGCAGTAGGGAACAGAGACTAAAAGAGTTACAGCTATGCTTAAAGGGTTGTGGGGAACACGAGGCAGAAGATTGCTGGAAACATCTTTAGGAGTGCTGTAACTTCCGCAGAGGCAGGCATCATACTGCGGGCTAGTAGGGATGTGTTTCAGTGATAGATAGGATAGAGCGCCTGTGCCTACAGTGGCAGCCAACGTAATGAGTGTCTCTAGTCTGAGAGGGGGTTACACAGGTTGTGCTGCCATAGCTACTGCCTTTGCATAGGTTGTGAACGGGGAAAGGTCTGGAACAACTCTATTATTCTTTGGCTCAGGAGCAATAATGTCTATGATAACAGAGAAGTTGGTGGTCTAATTAAATTTGAAGGTCACAGCAGAGTTACTATGGCATTGGGAGAGGCTATAAGACAGGCCTCTCCCAAGACTTACGATATTGTAGATGTCACTGTTAAATTAGATGGACATTGAAGAATCCTTACAGCTTTGGTAGTCAAGACGCTATCTATGGCAATTACTGCCAGAGGCCCTCCTGCAACCAGCAGCCGAGTGAATGAAGTTGTTTGGCGTAAAACAGGCAGACCAGGATATTACGACTGACACAATCAGAAATGTGGGTATTCTGGAGGGAGCCGACCAGAAAGATGACTTCACGTCCACATGACGAACATTAACCCTTTGTCAGGCAATGTCTGATATAATGGAATTTCACACTTAACTCCTTTAGAGTGGATAGAGTAACTCAATATAAGATGAATGAGGCCATATAAATGGAATTCTGATGGTTAGTTTCCGAGCAATTGCTAATTTGTGAAAGGCAGTTAAACTCGCCCATGCCCGAAATAGGGAGTATAAATTTGAATGCTGTAAACTTGCAATTGTTAATAAAACTCCCAATATCTATTTTTAAAATTTATTATACAAACATACAATATCAAAAACATCAATGGAACTTGTATCAAAGCATTTTAAGAACATAAGAATGTAGGAACACTGCAGAAGGCCTACTGGCCCATACGAGGCAGGTCCTTATCAAAACGACATCTACCTAAAGCTACTCAAGAAATAACTCCCGTACCCCTTAACACCAATCAAACCCAGCCCCTCCCACTCATATATTTGTCCAGTCTCTTCTTAAAGCTATCCAAGGTCCTAGCCTCTATCACCCCACTGGGAAGACTGTTCCACGCATCTACAACTCTGTTAGAAAACCAGTACTTACCTATGTCCTTTCTAAATCTAAATTTATCCAACTTAAATCCATTATTCCTGGTTCTTACCTGGTTCGACACCCTCAGTACTTTATTAATGTCTCCCTTGTTTATGCCCGTCATCCACTTATACACTTCAATGATATCTCCCCTTATTCTACGCCTCTCCAGAGAGTGGAGATTTAAGGCTTTAAGTCTATCTTCATACGGGAGGTTCCTTACACAGTAAATCATTTTAGTCATTCTTCTCTGTATGTTCTCTAATGAGTCTATGTCCATCCTGTAGTAAGGGGACCAAAACTGAGCAGCATAATCTAAATGTAAGTATTAGAAAAATATAAAAATGAAAGAAATAGCAACAAGGACACATTGCAAAGGGATAAAACTTTCAAGTCCCATATTCCTGAGATTCATGAGGAAGAGCAATCATTGTATATTACTAATTGCTAGAATGGAAGTCTATGAAGCAAAGGGTCATTTTGGAGGTCAACCTGGGACCACTTAGGTTCAACTTGAAGAGCAAGATCGTCATAAGTATGTTCCTCATCAGGGTACTCCTCGATCGTAATGCCTCTCTTTTTCTTGACTTTCTGCTTTTTGGCTGGCCTTTCTTCCTCATCACTTGACACCTCTGCACCCAGTGGCAAGTATTCATCACCACTATCAAGCAATTCAGGGTCATCTACCTCTGGTTCTGAGTCACTGTCATCCAAAATGCAAACATATTTTGACCTAGTGTCGGAGGGCTCCCCATAAAACAATTTCTCATTGATCTGGAAGGACAATAAAAACGTTCTGTATACATCCAGACCACTACCGAATTCATATATGCAGTAGAATTTTTTTATAAATATTTATTTTACTGAAAGTGAACTATGTCCCTACTCGGGCAGAGGCAGTCCTGACTGCCCTTCTTTTGTTGCACTTTTTTCAACTGCCTGCTACACTCACATTATGCTTCACACAGATGTACACACTAAACACAACAATCAGTACTTACCGACATTGTAGAGGGTAAAATCCAAGAGTATATTAGTGACACTAGATGGAAAAAAACCCACTCTGGGTGACGCCAAGCCAGAAGTGTTTACATTTTGTTCTCTCAACCAATGGGAAGCCGGCACACGCCATCACCACTTATCTGAAGCGACTCAGGGAAGGCTTGTGATTGGTCTGAATTAAAGAACGGGAATCCAGATGCTCGGTGCGAGTAGGATGACACGTGTAATGGTGCACGTGTTTAAAGGCAGTCAAACCTGCCTCTACCCAACAAAGGGGGAAGGAATCGGTTTATACAGATCCTCAGTTCGATATATCATCGGTGGCAACAAGATTCCACCCGAATTCCCTGCAACACCAGAGAGGATTGGAAGCCGAAACCATGATAGCAGGTAACGTAGTAATAATGAGTATTAGAACACATGATGAACTATCAGGTAAGCCGAAACATCCAGGGAGTGACGGACACTCAACCACCTTGGAGAAACGGTTTTATGGGGTACCTCCAAGGAGAAATAAATGGTCAGATTGAAGCAAGAAATCTTGCATCACGGAAGGAAGGGAACTGTACAATGAACTGCTAGATGGGAAATGCTGAAGCCAATCAGACAAAGCTAGACATTGAAAAAGTAAAATAAAAAAAGTGTGAAACGCGAAATCGACAAGTCTCCACTTTGAAAAGTCACGATAAACTGACAAGCGAGTTACCAGTGTCTCTTGCGAGAGGCGGACATCGGCCAGGCCCCCGGTGGGGGCTTGCGCGAGGTGAATTTTATGTAGACTCAGCAACTACCATTGCCGGCGGGAGGATGTGTAAATTTGAAATAAAAATTCCTCCGTCGTATTCGTTTGTAAATTAGTTGATGCGGCAGTCTCAGGAACCCTTAACACCCACCCAAACAACAATACCAGCAGAGAAATCGTATGATTAAACATATTAATTGATAGATTTACGTTTAGGAATGAATTAGATAGGTTTAAATTGCTAGTAAATAATATTAGGATTAATATGGTAGTTTTAGACCTTAAATATTATGTAATATTAGGTTGTATTAAGTAATGAGATTAGGTAAATTGTGGAAGCTAGCACATCACACAAGAAAGTCTAGTTCGGGGCATGCTGGACGCTAGCTCGTCCTTCTGGACAAAGACATCATGAAGTAAACAGCTCAGTGCAGATGATAAGCCAGTGATCACGCTGTCTTCAAAATACCGCCAGGAGATCATCAGTGAGCCCTCCATTCGTCTTCCCAGACCCCGTAGTAAGACAATCTGTTGCATTTCTCAGAGTACTTGTTGGCAAACGGTATTTTGGGGAAGGTAAATATATGAGCTGCGGTTACATGTATAACATCTGGGTATTTTTATTCTGCAGACGTTTCGCCAACGAATCGCTTTATCAATACAATACAGAAGACTTAATAAGTAATCATTTCCTCGGCCTAGGGCAGGTGTTCATAATAGTAGTCGTGACGAATCTGAAGCACCCGCAGCAAGACGTGGGCTTTTATACTGGGAATCAGATGAAGGTATTGTCACTAGTAGGCAGGATTTCCCAGTAGTAGATCATTCAAATTATGAAGACGTCTGTATCAAGATTCCATGATCACAACTGCTTGCTACCCTAGAGATGGGCCTGTGGTATTAATTGTGATGTCCTCTGTACCAAGATCCCATGATTGCAACTTACTAAAGCTGGCCCACTCTAGGTTCGATTCCCAGCAAGGAAAAATATATTTGTGTGTCCCATAGCTGATTGCTAGTGCACTCAGTTCACACAATGAGGTTCCGGAGTCGTTCCCGGTACGGCTGAAAACATTAGGACGTGTACAAGTTTGCATGAGACACCTGTCCATGTTCACACATCAGTAAAATAGGTACCTGGGTTCTAGTTGACTGGTGTGGGTCGCATCCTGGGACAAAACTGACCAAATCTTCCCGAAATATGCCACTGATGTCAGCTAGACCTGTACACCTTGTACATGTACTTGTATAAATTAAGATATTATTATTATTATTATTATTATTATTATTATTATTATTATTATTTATTATTATTGGGGAATCCCGCCTGCCTGTGACAATACCTTCAACTCGCTTGGCTCCTGTATATATCTCTGTCTCGCTACCTGTGCTATAGATTCATCAAGAATCTAGGCTGAGGTACTAATTACAGAATAAAGATACCCAGGTGTTACGTCTAATTCATAATGTTGTAGGCATTATACACCATTGATATACCTGTTATTCATGGCAGGCACAAGTGGATTGTCCTTCTGTCCGATCATGGAGAGAAACGCTGCTAGCAAATATTCCCTCGACTGATAAAAGTCACACCGACCTGTCGAGAATAGTTAGTTTGTTAGTTTTATTGACTTTCAACTTCGCTTGGTTTTTAAATAATTCAGTTGCCATTAAACTAACAAAATGCGTTAATCCCCAAAAAATAAATGAGCAATAAAATATACAGTGAGGTCTATACTCACCTAATAAGCAGCGTGAAAATTTGTTTTTGCCATAAATCTACGAAAATCAATATCGCCGAAACGAAAACTATATATAACTGACTTTATGAAATATTAGCTTTATCCCTTCAACGCATATAACTTGATAATAAAACTTCTGAGCGGCTTCAAATGTAGTGTGCTTTGTATTTTATGATACTAATATCTCTGAGATAACAAGAAAATGCCTCTTCGGTTGAGCTTCATAGCTTATGTTACGTAGTTGCAAGTTTGAATTAGCTTTGGTCTATGCATGTGCTATTTTTTTTTTTTCATATAGGAAGCTGGATTATTATTTTCCATATGATGACTTGTGAATACCTCCTCTGGTTTGTTCACTCTTTAATGCTAATATTTAACTGTATTATAACTATTCCTATCGTATGCATTCAAGCACGGAGGTGCTGGGGTTGTACAATACAGAGACACCTTTCTCGGATCACGCAGCACGAAATACTACTGATTTTAGATTTGATTATCATCAGTTACCAAATTTATCTAATTATTCCAAAACATTAACCCAATAACTATAAAAATACATAAATATGAGACAATGCTTTAATGTGAGAACGGATATGGGGACACCACTTAGGAGACTGAGCAAGCATAAATATGTAAACAAAACAGCGTCCATGCTTTTTTCTGGGTTTTGATCATTGTAAAAACAAAACCTTGTAAGTATAGGTTGCTGTAGCTGGGGCATGTATGCATATTTACTCTACATACATTACTCCATTTGAGAATTTGGAGCTACGTGAGAATGTGAGAATTGAACGTAATTGAATGAGAATGTGACTGAATGTGTTCTAGGACGACTGAGCGGGAGTACGCAGCAAATATGTCGGCTTTCGGTCAAGAGAGTTAGGAGGAGCAAAGTTTAATAACTGGAAGGAAGAGTACGATATGGAGAGAGCATAAATTTATAGAAAAAATTGAGACTTTGGCAGAGGTTTACCTGGAGTTTACCTGGAGAGGAATTCGCGGTTCAACGCCACCGCTGCCCGGTCTGAGACCAAGCCTCACAAAGGCTAAAGAGTTTTAACATATGTGGGTCGACGATTAAATGACTTACATTTTCAGAATATCTGTAATCATTTCATATGTATGAAGATCATCAAATCATGGAAGCAATGGGTATCGCGTCGATCCTGCAGGAACGGAAGTTTGCATCTGCATATAGTCTTTCCACAGGGGATGACTAACAAGCTACTAGGCATAAAGTTAATCCCTTACGGTGAATAACAGTGAGTTTATTAGGAGTAACTGGCAGATTTAAAGCACTAATCATGGCCGGGTTTGCCTATTCAACTTCAGGTAAAATGGGCTTAAGTTTTAAGAAAGATCAGTATAATTATACAGTTGGATCTTAAGATGTGAAATTGCTTTGACATTCGACAGTAAATTAAAACCAGAAATTTAAGCGGAGCGCATACTCGGATAAGGGACAGTGAAATTCCCAAGTTGACTGAGTGATATATAATGCGTTTTAAAGTTCTTGCTACAGTTCACTCTGCACAGACAATGACAAAATCGTCTATTTTGAAGAATGATGTCGAAAGAATCAGTCTATGTTCATTTATTACTATGAGAAATAAATAAAGGTGTACAGGGACACAGCCTTGTGGCACACCTTTAATTTATACAAATCAGAGGAAGATTATTATTCCTCCAAACTTTAAAGCGTCTTAAAGAAAATCCCTAATTAAGGAAAAGCCGAGGCCTGGTTTGGAGGCGTATGGAATGATTTTGGGATAAAATGCTGAAACGCCAGATATTCGTTAGCATTTTTATACCTAAAAGAGACAACCATAACCGATTACGCATTCTATAGTAACAATTTAAAAACAGCACAAGTATGAGGAATGGGTCTAAAATAAGATGGATCATGTTCTCGTGTAATCTGGCTTGCAACAATGGAACACTACAGCAGTTTTCCATTTAGAGGCAAAATATCTTCGGGCCATATTTGGTTAAAAAGGTGTGATTACAATCGCGGTGTGATTGTGTTGCAGCGCATAGATGAGTATATCATCATGTGTGGCTGTCGCAAGTCAGCACGCAGGCAGTGTTGATGGAAGTCAGCGAAACTGTCAGGAAACGTTGTACTGTTCATCGGTATGAAAAGTAAATTACAGAGGGGAGATCTCCCACTCGGGTTTCAAATGGCGAAAGAGGGGTAAATTAAGACCTGGGAAATACGAACTATGTTAAGCTCGACTCCTTCGGCAGGGTCTGCTTCTTTAAACCCACAATAGTAAGGACTAGAAGAGTGTCAGGAATATACTTGCCTGCTAATTTTCATACTCCAGATTTTGCACATAGAGGTAGTGGAATTTATGGTGGACGCAAAAGCATGCCAACAAGTTCATTTCGTCCGTATTATGCTACGCACAATCTGTTTTGGCTGCTCGTAATTTAGGAAACAGTATATAGCAAAGGTGTAACACTAACGATCCTACGAGCGCAGTCTGGAAACCTTCACAAAACACATTTCTGAAAATGTTACCCTTAGGTCTAAGGGATGATGAGTGCAGCTGTGGAAAAAGCCAAATGACAATGAATTGTAATTAATCAATTGTAGAGAAATCAGGAGGATGAGAAAAGAATGTAATGTGAATAGAAGGGCGGGTAAAAGAATGAGAAATAACAAAAATGAGAAATTATCCATACGTGTAAATCATTTATTATTGTGCAATTGAAACTAGTGGTTTTGAGACAGTAGAGAGGGAAGGCAATACACCAGAGGAGAGGACGAGATCAAGTAACTACCGCGAGTAACCCCTCAAGGAAGGTTCTTTGATGTTGGTGAGGGGCTCTTGATTTAGGGAATTGGATCTGTGCTCCAGTTCCCCGAATTAAGCCTGAATGCCTTCCACATCCCCCCCCCCAGGCGCTGTATAATCCTCCGGGTTTAGCGCTTCCCCCTTGATTATAATAATAATACCGCGAGTAACAGAGTGACTCTCTCCAGGGCAATAAGGACTTATACACTGATCTGTCTTGACACATGAAACTTAGAAGGTTGTGCTGATGTTAATAAAGACATAATATTACTTTCAAGATGACTTAATTGAGTTCATGTTGTTTCAAAACATGGGCAGAAACTCGAAAAAAAAGAGTCTTCATTATCTAAACTTTAATAACAATCTAACAGTATGAATAACACTCTAATTGAACGAATTCCAATTAAACTCTCTTGGAAAACAGATTATTATAAGCATAAGAAAGCGCTATAACAGTATTGGGAAAATAAAATTTCGAGCATATTAGATTTATCTTGACAATGTTTCATTTACTTTCCCGGGCTCATAAACACAGATCTAGACATCAAGAACATCTCTGTGTTCTATGTAATAATGAAGATTGGGTAAAAAGATATTTGGCAGATTATCTGGACGGCGGCCATTTTGTAAAATGTTGAATTTTGTTGTTTGCTACAAACGTAACTCTTGGCGATTTTCCTCTATTGAACTCAGTGGACATCGAGCTGAATTCACAACAAAGAATCCGCTTTTCCTATTTTCTTAATGCTACATTCTGTAATTTGTTCTAATGTTCCTTCAATATAAGACTATTGGTTTCCATGACATAACGGGGAACGAATTTTCCCTGATAATCAGTCTCATGTTTCTTCGGTTACTAAAGTATTTTAAAAACCAGCGTCATCGCTCGGCTATTTATATATTTATTTCGTATGCAAATGTGAGAGCATCACTGGCTAGTCTGCTGGAGTGGAGCGACTGACTTAGTCTCTTCTGAGTGCCTTTTCCTACAAAAACTTGAAAGTGCATCTTTTCGTTAGCTGCATTTTATGGACTCTATTTAGAGGAAGGTTCGAATTGTTTATTGTTATTAGTGAACTTTGTATTAAATTTTCAACACACGTTAATGGAACTTCGATGAATATTTGAGCTCTTACTGGAATGTTTTGGTGTTAATTGGCCAAAAGCGTTTAAAAAGTTGGTTATTTTTCGAACCATTGCTAGAAAAATATGTTTTTAAGAAGCTTCAAATATATGTTAAATATTTGAATTCAGTTTTAATTGTGTAGACGCAAATTAGCAATTTCTCATTAGAGAAATTGGAATATTGGTTCCCACGTGACCATTTGTGAATTTAGCTACTCATCAGTCAGATCTTGATCGGTAATATTTGGCTGCAATACGAAATTACAGCGGATTCAGATCGATAGTTGCTTGCAGGATGGAAAGTCCAAACAAATTAAAAAAAAAAAAAAAACTCACTGAGTTATCTTATGATTAAAATCGGGAAAAATATTTCCCGGAAATATAAAATGTTAGCATGATAAGTTCGTGGGAGGACCTGTGAGAGAGAAGTATTCCGTCATGACGACCTTGCTGGTGAGGTCCTCGATCAGCAACGCCTGGCCACCTTTCTTTGCTATTGTTTTTCCCACCTGCAGGTACTCAGTTGTCATCGCAAACATCAGTCTCCCATTCTTTTGAGACTCCATTACTTCATGATATATCCCTGACTGCACAGACTGTAAAACAACACAACGGATTAATACTACGTTATTGATAAATCAGACACATGTGCAGCACTTAGATATATTTATTGAAGAAACGTTGCGCCACACAGTGGCTTCATCAGTCCTATACAAAGATGATGATCAAAAGAAGGTTGAGGTAATCAGTCCCTCATCCTGGAGTCGATGTAATCAGTCCATGAATCTTTTCAAGACTGATCAATCTTTTAAAGACTGATGGACTGATTGCATCGATTCCAGGCTAAGGGACTGATTTCCTCAAACTCCTTTTGATCTTAATCATTCTTCTTCGTATATGACTGATGAAGCCATTGTGTGGCCAAAAGTTTCCTCGGTAAAGATACCCAAGAGTTATCAACTTGACGGTTCTCTGAACAATTTATCTATACTACGATGTTGTTATACGAATTTTGTAAATTTTGAATATTTTAATCAAGTGTTTTCGCTTCTGATGACCAGAGCTTTGGTAAGATGGGTAAGGAAGAAGGATGGGTAAGGATGGAAATATAACATTGGAAAAGGGTGGGAGGGGGGGGAGAGGTAGGATATAAAAGGTAAGTGGCCCAACCACTTTGGTGCAATTTAAAAATTGTATGTGAATTAATAAGATATTCTTTAAGAGGTATAATACTAACCCATCAGAGTCACATTAATCAAGTGTATATTATTAAAATTTCATCTGATATAAATATTACATATTTTTACAGCATAACTTAACAATCATAAGCTGAGTGGAACCCTGGTGATTTTGCCCCTAAAATGCCAATTTAAATAAACAGATATTGGGCATTGGTTTCTGTTTGATGACTGGAGAATGTTTCTTGTTCACCTTCACACCTTTAACAAAAGTGAATATTACGATAGAAAATATTTTGAGTTTTGGGATGTGTAGGCACTAGTTCGCTATTCTATTATTTAAATTCAGGAAATTATGATAAATAATATAATTCAAACTATGGCCAATGTTTCGTGTTTAGCCGAAGGTTATGATTACTGTTAGACTAAATGTAAATTAGCCCAATTTTATTTCGATTCATATGCTGTGCAAATCTGGTAACTCTGGCAAACACGTGACTGCTGTTTTCTTATAAAAACAGCAAACTATAATTGAGAAAAAGAAAATTTTAAAATAATGAAAACACTTTTTACCCTAACGTTTTTGTCTATGACAAATTTATAATGGTGTTTTTGCACCGTCTTAATTTTCTGAGTGTTAGATTCTCGAGTTGGCCAAATTTTACTTCCTGAGGAAGTGATTGGTGATGCTTTACAAATCATGTGCCTGTGAAGGATGTTGATCGATTACTCTTTGGCCTTTTGAGAGTTTTGAATTAAACTGCAGGTGCTTTTTCTTTACTGAACTGAGCTAAAGCAAGTGAATGTGTTGATCTCGTGCTCATTGATTTCTAGTGAGGGTTAAACGATTGCTCTAGGGTCTCTAGAGGAAGATGAGCAAAAGTGTTTCTTCCTACTGAAGGTTTTGAGAAATTAATATATCTTCTGTGTGCATTGGAAGCTGGAATTATAAGACACGGGAAACGCTTCTCCATATATCTATCTATTTTCATAACTCTCTTCTCATCTGAGGAAGACTACATCACCGGTTTCTGAATTTTGATTTATGGCTACCAGATATATTGTTAAAGTACTTTCTAAAAGCATTTAGACTGAGGGATGACATTTTATTGTGCACATCTCAGTGAGGAGATTAATGAAATGTTCTCGAGTAGATCTATTTTTAAGCAAGTTATCTACTCAGAAAAAATAAATTAATTTATACAACCCTGCATCTCCCTTGCTAAACAAAAATATTCTTGACACACTATACTGTAAATTTAGCAACATAAAAGATGTGAATTTGATATATTCCTCGAAACCCAGTGTAACTCACTTGAATATACTGCATGAAGTAGCTGTCGGCCTCGAAGACCATAGCTGTGTGAGAGTCGTCAAGCAGGTCTCTCAGGGTCTGGAAGGGTTGTGGTATGTACCTCACTGCTAGAAAGGAGGTGAGCATCCCGGAGTAACTGCGTGATAATACTAGCACCATCACCAACCATCCTCCCAGTACTAGACGCTCCCACCACTGCTTACTACCACTTCTAGTGTCTGTGGAGGCACCAGTTTGCATATTTACTGTTGTAATATCGATGTAAAGATTAAGTGACTAAGCAAGCAGAACTTTCCCACACAAGAATGCGGGCATGTACACACGCGCACGCGAATATAAGTGTTTTTGAGGGCTACCGAAGTGTACTGCAAAGGTCACTAGTGTGTCAGGGTAGTGAACAATCCTTAAAGCGATTTACAATTTGCCCTGAGCCACACAAGTGTGAGGAGAGCCACAATTTTATAAGTGATCTAAAAAGTGATACTTGTGGTGCAGCCAGAGTGGGCAGGCTTAGTGTGCTCCAGGCGACGCTGCCACGTGTCACCCAAGAAAGATAAAGTGAAACAAATTTGTGACCAGTGAAAGAAATACAGTGTATATTGAGAAGAAATGGAGGTGGATCTACGCCAGGACATCACATCGAGCTGAACAATCTACAGGCTGCTACAGGCTGCATTGCAAGTATTCACCTATGCGTTGTTGTTGGGCGAGAGTTTGGGTTTCCAATTCACCGCCAAGCTGATTGTGATAAAGAACAGACTATCAAGTACTAAATAATGAATAGTAATTGGTAATTTATGGAACAAGGCGAGACAGGAGTCTATTAGACTAGGGAGAAGTAAAAATATAGAGGACGCAAAGTAGTAGGTAGGTGTGGGTCAGGTCACAGGAGGATGTGGGGTAAGCCAGGTAAAGGAGCACTGCAAACTCCACATACACACCCATACACCACAACACACAATCTCACCTACTTTTCAGACACTTAATAAACCCACATATAGTCACACACACACACACACACACACACACACACACACACACACACACACACACACACACACACACAGCAACACACACACACACACATACACATGCATACACATGCATACACATACACACACACATACACACAACACACAACACACACACACACACACACATACACATGCATACACATACACACACACACACACACACACACACACACACACACACACACACGCACACACACACATACGCACACACACACACACACACACACGGGACCAGGAGCTCGGCTCGACCCCCGCAACCTCAACTAGGTGAGTACAGATAAGAAGGGAGGCTCAGCGACAATACGAAAATAACATAGCATCGATAGTCAAGTCTGACCCGAGGAGGAAAACAACAGTCAAGGACCAGGTAATCAGACTAAAGAAGGATGATGGGAAGTTCACAAGAAACGACCAAGAGGTATGTGAGGAGCTCAACATGATATATAAAGAAGTATTTACAGTGGAAACAGGTAGGACTCCAGGAAATCAGAACAGGGTGGTACAGCAACAAGTGCTGGATGAGGTACACATAACCGAGGAGGAGGTGAAGAAGCTGCTATGTGAACTTGATACCTCAAAGGCGGTGGGACCAGACATCTCTGCGTCGGCCCTTAGAGAAGGAGCAGAGATGCTGTGTGTGCTACTAACGAAGATCTTCAACACATCCATTGAAACTGGGCAACTACCTGAGGTATGGAAGATGGCAAATGTAGTCCCAATTTTTAAAAAAGGAGACAGACACGAGGCATTAAACTACAGACCTGTGTCAGTAACGTGTATAGTATGCAAAGTCATGGAGGAAATCATCAAGAGGAGAGTGGTGGAGCACCTGGAAAAAATCAGGCGTATAATCGACAACCAGCACGATTTCAGGAAAGGGAAATGTTGTGTCACAAACCTATTGGAGTTTTATGATAAGGTGACAGAAGACAAGAGAGAGAGGGGTGGATAGACTGCATTTTCTTGGACTGCAAGAAGGCCTTCGACACAGTTTCTCACACGAGGCTAATGCAAAAGCTAGAGGATCAGGCACACATAATAGGAAAGGCATTGCAATGGATCAGACAATACCTGACGGGGAGGCAACAACGAGTCATGGTACGTGATGAAGTGTCAGAATGGGTGCCTGTGACAAGCGGGATCCCACAGGGGTTGTACTGTTTTTGGTATATGTAAAAGGCCTTTCGGAAGGGATAGACTCAGAAGTGTCCTTGTTTGCAGATGATGTAAAGTTAATGAGGAGAATCAAATCGGTCGAGGATCAGGCAGGACTGCAAAGAGACCTGGACAGGCTACAAGCCTGGAACCCACACCTGGCCAAGCACGTCAAGAAATAGGATAAAATGTAAAGGTTTGTAACAAGACTAGTGCCGGAGGTAAGGGATATGTCCTACGAGGAGAGGTTAAGATAAATCAACCTAATGGCACTAGAGGAGAGGAGGTATAGGAGGGGGGGTTGATAACAACTTATAAAACACTGAGAGGAATTGATACGGTGGATAGGGACAGGATGTTTCAGAGATAAAGCACAGCAACAAGAGGTCACAACTTGGAGTTGAAAACTCAGATGAGTCACAGGTGACACAGTTAGAGGTGTCAGGCAGTGGAACAATCTGGAGATTGATGTATGGAGGCAGGATCTATAGATAGCTTTAAGAAGAAATACAACAAAGCTCATGGAGCAGGGAAAGATTGGACCTAGTAGTGACCAGCAAAGACGCGGGGCCAGGAGGTGTGAATAGACCTCTGCAACCACAAATAGGTGAGCATATACGTGTGACTCACTGGTCCACTGAAGTAATCTGTTCCAAAACTACCAATGCCTCTTGAGTGGAAAACATAAATTTACCTTTTACGACATAATTTTGCACTTAACAGACATTACAATAACAAGGAGGGATTCATACATTTGCTGAATCAAATATTCTTCTTCATTAAGCAAGTTTTCATTAGATTTCGTTAGGCTGGATTCCGTTAGGTTACGCTAGGTTATGTTGGATTATGCTGCATTAGGTTGCGCTTGGCTTCATTTGGTTGCATGAAGTCAGGTTAGGTTAAGCTAGCTTACTTTAGATTAGATTGACTACACAATTAGATTCCCTCACTTGGGTCAAATGTTCCTAAACATCCGCTTAATTCGTCCCAAAGTCTCTCAGTCTTGTACACACATCACCTTCTCTGAAGCAAAAACACTTACTCTAACCCATTTCTCACATCTCACCTTTATTCTAAGCCAAATAATTCTTAATTTTACACATTTATACCATATTTTTCTCTTTCCTTACGTTTATCATTTAAAATTACTGCCATTCCTCTTTATGTAGATCAAGTTTTGCAAGGTACACCCAATTTAACCCCATTTACTCAATCCCTTTTGAAAATCTCCCACTCCTTTTACATTTGTTTTGCTTAGTACCTTGGCATCCAGCTTCTTACATTCATAACATTAGCAATCAGATTTTTATTATTTGTACTACTCTCATGCAGATTCAAACAGAAAAACTTCTTTCCTTGTCTTTACAGTAACTCATACAGAAAATGGGTTACTAGCACTTGCATGTGTCCCTTTTCCCTTTACTCGTGTAGATTAGGTTATCGTAAAGAGGGATATTTCGTCAGAATGGCCATCAGTTTCCTCAAATTATTTTCCTACTTGGAAAATAAGAGAGGCGGCAGTGTTGGCTGATTCCTGGTGCAATGACGGCAGAGTTGTGTCGCCATTGTACTAGCTGTGCTGCCATTGTATATATATTTTGGTGATTATCTGACAATCACCAAAATATAGGATTGAGACCCTTAAATTTTTTCATGCAATTACTGTCGCAATGTTCCATCTCTATTGCAAATCATAATAAACAACAAAGAAACACCTCTGTTCTTACGAAAATTAATACAAATAATACTTACCTTGTTGGAACAAAGCGCGTACATATAAACCAAAGTTAGTAGTGACCTGGCTGGCAAGATTGGTATCGTGACGAGGGAAGTACAAGGACAGGACTAACGAAGTTCCTAGCAGCACGAATAACGTAACTAGGAGGAACATCCACACCCGTGGCTCTAGAGGGAGCAGGAAGCCCCAGGGGTCCACTTCAGGTCGTCCTCGACCTCCCATGATACGTAAATAGTCGACCAAAAACGACCTCATAAAGTCGACCATCTCGGCACGAACGGCGCTCACACCAAAAGGGCCAAGACCAAGATCCGCCTCCTGTGTCATCCCACACGCAAACATTAAGAGCAGCCACAGTTTATGATAAATAGTGATAAATTAGACACATGTGCAACACTTGGGTATCTTTAATTAATGAGGAAACGTTTCGCCACACAGTGGCTTCATCAGTCAATACAAAGGAGAATGGTGAAAAACAAGAGAAATTCGAGGTGATCAGTCCCTCAACCTTAAGTTGATGTAATCAGTCCATCAATCTTGAAAAGATTGATGAACTGATTTATCTACATGATAAATATTGCACATTACAAGGACTTTTATATTAAAATAAATACTTGTGTTGCAAGCAGTGGTTTGAAGAAAGCAAATTAAAGCTAATGTCTTTAACTTTATTACAAAATAATGGTCATTAAAGACATTATTCCATATAAAGTAAAAATAATAAATTATAAATAAATGATAAATATTATAAATAAATTATAAATAAATGATAAAGCTTCCGAGAGCAAAAACTGAAGAGAATAATCGACGCCATAACAGAATATGCCAAAACAAGGAGAAAGAAACTTTGAAATTGAATAACAAAGAGGATGTCCAAATAGAATATCCAATTAAAATTAAAATATAAAATACAGAGAATAAAAATCAACTACAAAAGTGACGTGTGAGAGGAGTGTATTTAAAAAAAATGTAAAGTAAATTGGAATTTAGTTTGCAACATAATAGTGAACTGGAACCCTTGAATAACTAAAGAAACAGAAACTAAGCAATAAGCTCGTCCAGTGAGTTAAATATCGCTCTGGTTATTGAAGGGATGTGAAGAATTTAGTTACCTGGCTGTGATTTTTTTTTTTTGGATTTCTCAGTTAAAAACATAAACTGACGGATAAACAGAATCAGGCAAAAACTGAAACATTTTAGAAATATAGGAGGAAAGCCTTTTTAAAATTTATAAATGTCTCGTTAACAAGTAGAATTTCTAGACCCTGGATAAAAGGCTATAATTGAAAGTGGATCAAAAACCTCTTTGTCTACCAAGTTGGACTCTACTTCACTCACTTGCTTTTACTGTGTTACAATGAGCCTCTCTCAAACACGGTGGACAGGTGTCCACCATGTTTGACTCACCTGAACTGTCACACTCACCACACTGTCATATTGTACTCAGCTACACTCATCTACCTATCTACTATGTTTGACTCAGCCTCACTCACCTGCCTACCAACCATGCCAACCATGCCACTCCAGGAGCCATCAGGCCGCTTGACGCCCCAGGCGCCATCCGGCGGTCGCGAAAATGTATACCTATTGATATAAATATTTACCACTACATACAGGGTTTTTACAATAGGATTTTTAAATCTTTGTATGCAGAGAGAGTTTAACTCTTATTTTATGGAATAAATCATTCTTAATGTTACTGTTTCAATGAATTACAGCCTTACCGACTCTTGTAAAGTCAGTAGCCTGTATAAATAACTAATAAACTGGTAGAGAATAGCGAGGGCTGCCATTAACCTACGTAAAATTGATGTAGTGAGCTAGCAGGTTCAGGAAGTTTACCAGTGGTCCACTGAATACGTTGATCTTGTCCTTTATAACGTGAGGTGGGAACTCCTCTGCTGCCACCACTAACTGAGGACCATACTCCAGCCTGATCATGGTAGTGACAACAGTATTTAGTAATTTTTTTTATAATATAATTATCATTGTTTTTGTTGCTTTATAATTAATAATAATAATAATAATAATAATAATAATAATAATAATAATAATAATGTTATTATTATTATTATTATTATTATTATTATTATATTATTATTATTATTATTATTATATTTTACTTCTTTTTTGGATCAAACATGATAGCCTACCATTCCTCAGATCCTTTATGACCCCTACAAGTTTACAACTTCTCCAAGATTATAATAGCAAAATAATGAACAGTAATCACTCAGGGTATAGGAATGGCAAATCTTGTCTTACCGGTCTGTTGACATTCTTTGACATAGCAGAAGTTCGACAAGAAAGAGAGGGGTGGGTGAATTGCATTTCGTAGATTTTAAGAAGGAATCTGAGAGTACACCCCACAATAGACTTGGAAAAAAGCTTGAAGTACAGTCAAGAATAACAGGGAATGCAGTTAGGTGGATCAAGGGGTACCATAGGCCAAGGAAGCAAATAATTTTCAGGGAAGAGTAATAACAGTAATAAGAGTGTTTCCGCAAGGATCGGTATTAGGACCAGTACTTTCTCTGGTTTTTGCGAATGACATACCAGACGGGATTGAATCAGATATATACATGCTTGCTTAAGCTGCAAAAGTAAGTAGAATAGAAACAAATGAGGACCAGGATAGGTTACAAATGGATCTTAAAACCCTGCAAAATTAGTTAGATAAATAGCTGCTTGAATACATCCTCAGCAAGTGCAAGATTACGAAGACTGTAGAAGGGTCAAGAAGACTGGATATTGAGTACAAACTCGAAGGGACAAAGGGAGCAGATCTCACTTAAAGAAAAAAAAAACCTATGGATGAGAATAGTGTCTGCATATCGCTGGAGGATCACGTTAACTGAATATCCTCTGCAATTCATGCTCGCCAGTTTCTTCTAAGAGAAGCTTTTATGAATCTCAATATAGTCATTCTGGGCCCTTTTATAACATATGCCAAACCCTTCGTGGAGTGCGCAGCACCAGCATGGAACCCACACCTAAATAAGCACGTTAAGAATCTGGAGAAAATGCAGAGGAATGTAATGACCCTAGTTTCATAACTGAGGGATAGGATTTACAAGGAGAGGCTGAAGAAATTGAAACTAACGATGCAGGAAGACACAATAACCACGGGAGACATGATCATAACATACAAAATACTCGAATGTATAAGGTAGACAGGAATAGGCTGTTTGAGAGGCGGAAAACAGGCACTATGGGGCACAGATGAGAAGTAAAAGTCACGGATGTGTAACAGGAATATCAGGAAGTCCTTCTTCAGCCTTGGTGTGGTCGACGAAGTGGTGAAGGCAGGCTTGATAGATAATAAGAACAGGCACAATAAGGTTCATTAAGCTAGAAAGGAGCGAATCTGGCAAGCTGTAAATTGAGACGGGACCAGGTGCTAAATCTCGACCACTACAAACACATGTTGGTGAGTTAATATAGGTAAGTACTTGCACACATACATGCGCGTGTATGTGTGCGTGTGTGTGCGTAAGTGTATGTACTCACCTATTTGTGGATGCAGGGGTCGATTCATAGCTCCTGGCCAAGCCTCTTCACTGATCGCTACTGTGTGTGTGTGTGTGTGTGTGTGTGTGTGTGTGTGTGTGTGTGTGTGTGTGTGTGTGTGTGTGTGTGTGTGTGTGCATGTGTGTTTGAGTGTGTACTCAATTGTGCTCACCTAATTGTGGTTGCAAGGGTCGATACTCAGCTCCTGGCCCCGCCACTTCACTGACCGCTACTGGATCCTCCCTCTCCCTGCTTCATGAGCTTTATCATACCTCGTCTTAAAACTACGTATAGTTCCTGCCTCCAGTACATCACTACCCAGACTATTCCACTTCCTAACAACTCTGTGGCTGAAGAAATACTTACTAACATCCCATTGACTCATCTGAGTCTTCAACTTCCAATTGTGACCCCTTGTTTCCGTGTCCCATCTCTGGAACACCTTGTCTCTGTCCACCTTATCTATCCCACACAATATTGTGTATGTGGTTATCATGTCACCCCTGACCCTCCTGTCCTCCAGTGTCGTCAGACCGATTTCCCTTAACCTTTCTTCGTAGGACATTCCCTTTAGCTCTGGAACCAGCCTTGTTGCAAACCTTTGCACTTTCTCTAATTTCTTGACGTGCTTGAGCAGGTGTGGGTTCCAAACTGGTGCTGCATACCCCAGTATGGGTCTGACGTACACAGTGTATAGAGTCTTGAACGATTCCTTACTGAGGTATCGGAACGCTATTCTCAGGTTTGCCAGGCGCCCGTATGCCGCAGCAGTTACTTGGTTAATGTGGGCTTCCGGCGACATGCTCGGTGTTACACTCACCTCCAGATCTTTCTCCTTGAGTGAGGTTTACAGTCTTTGGTCTCCTAGCCTATACTCTGACTTTGCATTTGGCAGGGTTAAGTTCTAGGAGCCAGTTGCTGCACCACGCGTCCAGCCTGTCCAGGTCTCTTTGTAAACCTGTTTGGTCCGCATCTGATTTAATTTTCCTCGTTAACTTCACATCATCTAAAAATAAGAACACTTCTGAGTCTATCCCTTCCGTCATGTCATTCACATACACTAAGAATATCACTGGTCCTAGGACTGACCTCTGTGGGACCCCGCTCGTCGTAGGCGCCCACTGTGATACCTCATCATGTACCATGACTCGCTGTTGCCTCTCTGTCAGGTATTTTCCAATCCATTGCCGTGCCCTTCCTGTTATACGTGCCTGATCCTCTAGCTTCTGCACTAATCTCTTGTGAGGAGCTGTTCCGAAGGCCTTCTTGCAGTCCAAGAAAATGCAATCGACCCTCCCCTCGCTCTCATGTCTTACTTCAGTTACCTTGTCATAAAACTTCAGTAGGTTTGTGACTCATAATTTGCCTTCGGAGAATAGAATAGCAGATGAACAAGGAGGCTATAGGAAAGGTAGGTGGTATGTGGACCAGGAGTTTACAGTGAAACATATAAGTGAACAGTATTTAGATAAGGCTAAAGAGGTCTTTGTGGCATTTATGGATTTGGAAAAGGCGTATGACAGGGTGGATAGGGGGGCAATGTGGCAGATGTTGCAGGTGTATGGTGTAGGAGGTAGGTTACTGAAAGCAGTGAAGAGTTTTTACGAGGATAGTGAGGCTCAAGTTAGAGTATGTAGGAAAGAGGGAAATTATTTCCCAGTAAAAGTAGGCCTTAGACAAGGATGTGTGATGTCACCGTGGTTGTTTAATATATTTATAGATGGGGTTGTAAGAGAAGTAAATGCGAGGGTCTTGGCAAGAGGCGTGGAGTTAAAAGATAAAGAATCACACATAAAGTGGGAGTTGTCACAGTTGCTCTTTGCTGATGACACTGTGCTCTAGGGAGATTCTGAAGAGAAGTTGCAGAGATTGGTGGATGAATTTGGTAGGGTGTGCAAAAGAAGAAAATTAAAAGTGAATACAGGAAAGAGTAAGGTTATGAGGATAACAAAAAGATTAGGTGATGAAAGATTGGATATCAGATTGGAGGGAGAGAGTATGGAGGAGATGAATGTATTCAGATATTTGGGAGTGGACGTGTCAGCGGATGGGTCTATGAAAGATGAGGTGAATCATAGAACTGATGAGGGGAAAAGGGTGAGTGGTGCACTTAGGAGTCTGTGGAGACAAAGAACTTTGTCCTTGGAGGCAAAGAGGGGAATGTATCAGAGTGTAGTTTTACCAACGCTCTTATATGGGTGTGAAGCATGGGTGATGAATGTTGCAGCGAGGAGAAGGCTGGAGGCAGTGGAGATGTCATGTCTGAGGGCAATGTGCAGTGTGAATATAATGCAGAGAATTCGTAGTTTGGAAGTTAAGAGGAGGTGCAGGATTACCAAAACTGTTGTCCAGAGGGCTGAGGAAGGGTTGTTGAGGTGGTTCGGTCATGTAGAGAGAATGGAGCGAAACAGAGTGACTTCAAGAGTGTATCAGTCTGTAGTGGAAGGAAGGCGGAGTAGGGGTCGGCCTAGGAAAGGTTGGAGGGAGGGGGTAAAGGAGGTTTTGTGTGCGAGGAGCTTGGACTTCCAGCAGGAATGCGTGAGCGTGTTAGATAGGAGTGAATGGAGACAAATGGTTTTTAATACTTGACGTGCTGTTGGAGTGTGAGCAAAGTAACATTTATGAAGGGGTTCAGGGAAACCGGCAGGCCGGACTTGAGTCCTGGAGATGGGAAGTACAGTGCCTGCACTCTGAAGGAGGGGTGTTAATGTTGCAGTTTAAAAACTGTAGTGTAAAGCACCCTTCTGGCAAGACAGTGATGGAGTGAATGATGGTGAAAGTTTTTCTTTTTCGGGCCACCCTGCCTTGGTGGGAATCGGCCAGTGTGATAATAAAAAAATAATTTGCCTTCCATGAATCCGTGCTGGCTGTCGTTTATAACCTTGTTCCGTTCCAGGTGCTTCACCACTCTCCTCCTGATAATCTTCTCCATGACTTTGCATACTATACACGTCAGTGACACTGGTCTATAGTTTAGTGCTTCGTTTTTGTCCTCTTTCTTAAAGATGGGGCTCACATTTGCCGTCTTCCATACCTCAGGTAGTTGCCCAGTTTGTAGGGATCTGTTGAAGATTGTTGTTAGTGGCACACACAGTGTCTCTGCTCCCTCTCTAAGGACCCACGGAGAGATATCCGGCCCCACCACCTTTGAGGTATGAAGGTTACTTAGAAACTTCTTCACCTCCTCATCAGTTGTGTGTAATTCCTCCAACACTTGCTGGTATGTGCCTTGTTGGTGTACCCCTCTGTTTTGTCTTTCCAGTGTTCCTTCTGCCTCCACTGTGAATACTTCCTGAAATCTCGTGTTGAGCTCCTCATATTTCTTGGTTGTTTCTTGTGAGTTCCCCAGCTTCTTTCCTCGGCCTGATTACCTGGTCCTTGACTGTTGTCTTCTTCCTGATGTGGCTGTAGAGCAGTTTCGGGTCAGACTTGACTTTGGATTCTATATCGTTTTCGTACTGTCGCTGGGCCCCCCCCCCTTATCTGTGCATACTTGTTTCTGGCTCGTCGACTAATCTCTTTATTTTTCTGGGCCCTTTGCTTTCTGTGCTTTTTCCATTCTCTAGCACACTTAGTTTTTGCCTCCCTATACCTTCGGGTAAACCAAGGGCTCATTCTGGCCTTCCCATTATTTCTGTTACCCTTGTATTTTGTTGTTACATAGTCATCGTTTCGTTTACTGACTTTCCTACCAACTTTCTTTCCCACTGAACCTCTTGCAGGAATGTCCTCATATTAGTGTAGTCCCCCCTTTTATAGTTTGGCTTTTCCATTATGTTACGACTTTGATGTCGTAACTTAAATATAATGTTCCTGGCTCCTAAAGGCTGCTTACACTGCTGTCTAGGGTTTATAAAATTATTCTGAAAACACAGCGAATCTTGGGCCAGCATGTACTCATAATTAAGCATGAGTGCAAATAATTAACGTTGTATAAGAACACAATTCACCTATATAAAAATATATCTATATTAATAGTAACCACCACACTCCAGTTCACATTAGCTCACTAGCACACTCCTACTAATGAGTTAAACAAAATAAATGAACATTTATGAACAGGGAGGCTTCATGACATACACACACCCCTCTTCACTTCTACCTGGTAGACTAATTACCAGCAGGAAAATCACCATACAGTACTCTCGCATAAACAGGCCTCTGCATACTAGAGCCTTACAAATAAACATAAGAGCACCAGAAAATACACTAAAAAACTTACCAAAATTGCCTACTGAGACTACCGCCCAAACATGATGGCTTCACCCCGTCACCACCCATCTCGCACTGAACTAAACACACCTCTCATCTGCTCCTGTCCGGGCCACTGCCTGACTGACAGGAACAAAACGCGTTCACTTACAGGGAATAATACAGGTCCACTTTCCGTATACTATACGGAAAATGACATATGGAGCGTTATTTTATATAAATATTGTTTTTAACAGTACTCTGTAATACCTTACTACTCCTGTTGCCCTCTCCACTTGTAGCTCTATGGTGTATTCAAAGCTCAGAACCACGTGGTCGCTAGCTTCAAGGGGCCTTTCATATGTGATGTCCTCGATGTCTGAGCTACTCAGGGTGAACACAAGGTCCAGTCTTGCTGGTTCATCTTCTCTCTTTCTGGTAGTGTCCTTAACATGAGGTAGTGTCCTTAGCATGAGGTTTTCCGGTACCACATCCCTCATCTTGGCTCTCCATGTTTCAGGACCCCCCATGCGGCTCCAGGTTTTCCCAATCTCCCTGTGGTTGACGTCGCCCATAACCAGTAACTTTGCTCTACTCGAGTGAGCTCTTCTAGCCACCTCAGCCAGTGTGTCCACCATTGCTCTGTTGCACTCATCATATTCCTCTCTCTGCCTCCTGCAGTTCTGTGGTGAGTTATACATCACTGCAATAACTACCTTATGTTCCCCTGACTGAACTGTACCTACTATGTAATCCCTTTCTCCAGTATCGTCCATTCCTTCCATTTCCCGATAACCCTATCGGTTTTTAATGAGCAGTGCGACCCCGCCTTCCCCTCTGCTCCTTCTATCCTTCCTCTGGATCTGATATCCGGTGGAAAGATTGCGTCTGTTATTGTCCCCGTGAGTTTTGTTTCTGTGACTGCTATGATGTCTGGGGACATCTCCTTGATTCTTTAATGCCACTCTTCACATTTAATCGTTATTCCATCCGCGTTCGTGTACCAAACCTTCAACTTCTTTTCTATAACTGTGGTCCGGGGACAATGGTGGGTTTGGGGGAGCAAGTGCTCTGGCCGGAGCCTATAGGGGTTGCTGTGGGGGTGGGGTCTGTGATGTGTGAGGTGGGAGCAGAGGGCCCATTGGGGGTTGAATTGGTGGTGGGGATTGTGGTGAAGGGGTGGTGGGTGGGTGTGTGTGTGTGTGTGTGTGTGTGTGTGTGTGTGTGTGTGTGTGTGTGTGTGTGTGTGAGGTAAAGTGTTAATGTTAATATTTTAAAGCACACAATAATATTAATAGCTTAGAAAGTATCGGCTTGTATGGGCTGTTTGAAGGCGATACCGATGCCATAAAAATAGCCGATACCCGCCGATACTTTGGCACTTCCCTATCAAATTCACATGCATATATAATAATGTGTGAATACGTAAACCTACACACATACATATTGTATATACATCATTGAACATTTAACAGAAGCACAACGCAAGACTGTCTTTTGTGTCAATAGTACCTGAGCAACGTATCGGTGAAGTGTTCTTAGAAATAGCTGGAAGGTAAACAATGTGTAACTCTCGCTGTATATACACCGAAAGTTATACATCATTGGATATACACTGTCAATTTTTTATATGTATATTCACCGAGAGTTGTGTAAGTCTAAGCGTATAAATACCGAGTGTTGTATATTATCTGGTGTATATACCCTATAGTGTTTACATGAATACATTTTGTTGTTAATTAAGATTTCTTGCTGTGAGTAACGTCTGGAGTTACCTTGAGAACTTCTCAGGGAAGAGCTGGAGATGAGTGTGGAGGGTGAGGCTGTGATGGGGCGACCAGCTGGCCACTTGCACCACCTGTGTCTCCAAGGGGCTGTACGGCAGGTGTACGTACACACTACACCTGTAGTGACATATCAACAAGGTACGAAATTATTTCAGTCTCACTACTGTGGGTTTAAAAAAAAAAAAGTCTTACACTGTGGTTTGTCGGGACAATTAGTTTAAGTATCAACCATCACTTCATGTAAGAGTGTAATTTGTCTAAAGTTATTTTCTCCATGTATTCATCGGGAGGAAATCATTTGACGTGGGTTTTCATCATTAGATTCCCGTTCACTGGTGCTGTATGCCATGTGGTATTGGAAAGGTATAAAGAAAAAAAAATACCGTGTGCTGCCATTGGTCAATCTGCAAGCAACAACAGTGACCCCTGACTTTCCAGTTAAAATCAATAATCAGAATGCTTTTGTGTATTTTACCAAAAAGCTTGAACAAAACTTAGGTATATAACTGCTGAAAGTCGTCCAGTTTTCCACTTTTTGCACAGTGTATGAAAAGTAATTTATGCAACATATTAAGTATACCTAAAAGGGAATATTTAAGTGGTTCCCAATTTTTTTTCTTGAACCACATTTTCATTTGTATTTCTTTCATAACAAGAGAAGTATAACCCCTATGGGTTTATCGCTTCCTATGATGAAGACACGATTCTGAATTGCATCAAATTTTAGCTGATGTACGGTATAAGTTACGTAGGTTCAAATTTTGACGGATAATGTGCAATAACTGGAGAATGCATCTTTTGGTCGGCTACAAACTTGTAGTGCTGAAGTGTTTTCCTCAAAGAAAGTTTCCCCTTGATTTTAGGGTGTGCAAAGTCTTATTTGCAAATATTATTAAATTAATTTACTTCTGTAAAATAACTGAAGAATCTCTTTTCTGAACAGTGTTTGATTTTACTGGGTCATGTTAAGTTACTTATACAACGTACTTTTATGTGCCCATAATATCGGTGTCCCCTGAAATTTAACTTAATTACCTACTTAAATTACTTAATTAAATTACTTAATTACCTACTTATGCCTACATATAGGGAAAATTTGGATTGATTTTTGCCTTTGTTGGTCCTAATTTACCTAATGCATTGAAAGAAATCAGGAAAATTAAATAACTAGTGTTGATATACTAAGTGGTGTGTGCCTCATCTGAATGGACTCAGCTCTTCACCACTAATAATTAACTTGATAATGCCTCTTTTGAGCTGCTCCAAACTCAGTGTTAATTGTTTAATTTAGCATTTCGAATTTTGGAAGTAAAAATAAAGTATGACTTCAGTCTTGGATCAAGGCCGGTGTTTTGTCTCAGTATTTTCTAGTATACCATTTTTATTAAAGAAATTTACACAGCGGTTTCCATGTGATAACCTATGAATTCCACTTTTAATTAGTTTCAGATCTTCAACACATTTAACTGTATTTGCACTTGTGCAAATACAGTTAAAGAATTTTATATTGTTTATTTTGATTTTAGTAAGGCTTGTGATAGAGTACCGCACCAGAGACTGTTAAAGAAAGTGGCAGCTCATGGCATTGGGGGAAAAGTGTGGTCATGAATCGAGTCATGGCTCACCAATAGGAAGCAGTGTACAAATACAGTGCACTGCGGCACAGAGTTATGGAATACGGGATACAGTTCTCAGATCCCAGAGCAACAGAAACTAATTTAGTTTCATATAATTCATGGAGAAGAGCTAAGAACCAAGCTGATCATTACGTGGAGGAGGCATCCAGAATGAGCAACATGGCGTTCATCATGGAGAAAGAGGTGTAGAGGTGACAGAGGTCTGATAGAGGTCGGCGAGTGATGGCCAGAAACCGAGTGGACCACAAGAGGAGGCGGCCCTTGAGAGCCCACTTAGCGGAAGCTGCCAGGAAGATGGAGTCATCACTCACCACCATCACCGTCACACACCACGACGTCTGCCGTACCTGTTGACACGGCAAGCAATGTGGTTCTCAATGGCTGTTTTTGTTGTTGTTTGCATCATTGTAACTGACCTGTTTACTATTAATGCAAAAGTCCTACCTGGCGAGCCTGGGCAATCACTCGCGACAGCTTCGCCTCAGTCAGATTGGGGCTATTGCTTCCTGCTTCCACCTCAAACACCGTCAACCCCCAGGACGCTCCCAACCCTTGCAGTTCCTATAATGAAAAAAAAACAACAATTGAAGCAAGTAATAGTACCATCTAATGACAAGAGATATAGTTATGGGGATTTGCTGAAGCCGATCGATACGATCCAATACCTCCCAACAAATTACCAAATTCTGAAGGCGGCTCCAAGACCTGACTTACAGCTGAAAGGAATGAACAATTTAGGGGACAGAATCCCATAATAAAAATGAAATTCTTGATGCAGTTTGCTCACTGCTTGATCCGTGATTGTGACACTACACTGCGTCAATGCAGTCGGTGTCAAGCAGGCGTCCGTTATTCAGCACCAAGTCCTAAAGTACCTAATGCATCTAAGTTCACTATATAGTTTTAAAAGCGTATTGTTAGTGACCTTAGAAGTAACTGGATAAGCGAAGTTGTAATATCTGTAGCTGCTTAGGGTGGACATGATCCATAAAGGAAAATGTATAGCTAGCAAGCACTATTTGATCAAGGATCTCGAAGAACATTTGTTAGAAGATCCGCTTTGTCAGATTAGAGAAATATTAATCAGTATCCGCTTTACGAAGTATTAATTAGTATCCGCTGTAGTAGTGGATAGTCTTCTTAATCACATCAAGAAAGGTTTAAGTGAAAGCGTCGAAAGTCTAAAAAACGAACATCTGAAGCTAGCTACGCCAAACTTGGTAAATATGTTAGGGCCTATAGTTTTTTGCTAGGTAGCGCTGTATGATCCTAGTGGGTTTATCGCTTCTTTTTTATTGCAATAAATTGTTGCTACGTTGTGATTCTTATGACATTTGTCAGTGTCATTTATGACCACAGGCATGATCACATGATTACGGACAGATACCGCCCGAGCATGTCATCTGACTGTTACATGCCAGTGTTACCGCCAGTGTTACACTATTATTGGTACAGATGAGAGGGGTCAAGATAAAAAACTGACCCAAAATCAGAATCTTGATAAGGTAAATAGGATCTTTGAGGTTGATTATTATTCAAAAAAAGCACTAAACACACGAGGGTCATCCTTGGAAGTTAAGTAACATGAGTTAACCCTTGGACCCTTCCTTTCATTCGCACTTTTCCAGTTCAACGCTTCCATCACAGAAAAATCACTTGAAGTAACAGGAACTGATCACACCGGTTCCATTACTTTGTCCAAGACGCCTAACAAAGTACCGATAAGAGGGTTAACGTGCCTTCAAAATTACCATTACTAGGACAATACATCATTAGGCAGCTACAGACATAACAGCGGAATTATTCGTTACCCAGAAGATCTTGTCCGCATGTCATGATCTCCGATAATGGCAGTAACTTTGTAGCTAACCTACAGAAGCTGAATCAGTGTCACATGGCATTGTTTTTCACTAAAATACCCATAGTATGCTCATAGCTAGGATTGATAATGCAAAGTGGAGTGTCACGAAGATATATTATTTAATATACTTAAGTATAGTATACACCTGTCATAGCAAGACAAGAGACCGAATATCCTGCAATTGATTATCTGTGAGTGAAAGTGACCCTTGTTTTACGAGAACTAATGTGTGTCCAAGTGTCAAGAGGTAAGGTGAATACTTCGTCCTCTTCTAGTGATGAGCGACTAGTCAACTGTCTCCTGACGCTAGGCTGTCTCCACACTCAAACGTGGTACAGGTGTTGTAATGTATAGGCTTTTAGACTACATACTCGAAATACTAGGTTACTTAAATTACATCTTTAGCTTCGTTTAACTTTATACTTATGCAAGACACTGAATATTAATTTATTTTCTCTACTGTTAAATTAATCACATTAATAATATCTTTATTTACTACAAGTACAAGGTATACAGTCCTAGCTGACATCACTGACATACTACTATATAGAAAGCCGCTTGTTATGCAGAGCATTTCGGGCAAATTAGGTCAGTTTTGTCCCACGATGCGACCCACACCAGTCGACTAGCTCCAAGGTACCCATTTTGCTGATAAGTGAACATAGACAACCGTTGTAAAGAAACACGCCCAATGTGTCTACCCTCGCTGGGAATCGAACCCAGACACTCGTGTGCAGCGAGAGCTTTAGCCACCAGGCCACGGGGCACGGGCATTGTTACTTGAAAGTTTGCCAAGCCTGCATGCAGGCGAGTATCACATTACATTATCCCCCCCCCCCGCCTTTCTCATAACGTTTTCACACCCCCACCTCACCCCTTCAAACTTACAAATATCGGTAAATCAACTAAACTTTTTGTTTGATTTTCACAATAATATCCCTGAAGTGCTAAGTGTTATATTTATTCAGATAAATAAAACAAAATAATGGTCTTATGTGAGGAAGAGTTAATTATCTCTCAAGTTCACGGAAACAATATTTTAGTGTGGGAGCTGTGCAAAATGACTAGAGTAACTGCTCCAGACTACTAGTATAGTGCTCTTAATTAGAATTTAACTAAAGGGTTATAACTGACCATATTTTTTAAAGGGATGGACCGGTAAGCCAGCGGAAGGCCTCGGTCAGATGACCGAAAGCTCCAACGGCGGGTCATCATCTGACGAAGACCCGCGTTAGGAAACACTTATCCTGTTTCCTGACAAATCTTACCTAGGTATATTGCCCCTTGACAGTGACAGTCCCAGGACGAGATGGCCTTCAGGTAACGTCAGTGAACCCTGTCCAGACAAATATGGTACAATCCAAACATTGAAAGTCTTGAGCAGGGAGTAAGGGGTGATCATTACACGTTCCATAGATAAAATAGTACTGTTGGATATGAATTGTGCCACTGAATCATGGAAGAAGTTTCTCTTTGTACAGTGACCAAGAGGATCACGTCCAAAATGCTGATAATTCCAAGGGAAAGGGGATGGAGAGTAAGTATCCCTTAGGATGGAACGCCATCACATGGGACAGCACCAGGGATACGCCCTACCAAGAGCGGGGGCACACAAGCATGATCGAAATGGAAGCTATTCAGCCAGAAAGAACTATTAGAATCACTGTTGACTTCTCCTGGTCTCCAGTGCTTCTACATGTACTATGCGTTATTTATCGCACCTAGATGAGTTAGGAGACTGGAATCGAGTCAAGTTATGCAAAAGGCTAAAATTCCCTTTAAAAATGGAGGAAAGTGGATCTGTGGGTTTACTGAAGAAAACAGAGGTACCAGTGACATCACTTGTATGCGCCAGTTTAGTGCAGCAAGAGTCAGTTGAAAGTCTCTGATATTTGCCAAAATAAGGTATAACGAGATTATTGACGCAATGTAGTGAGGGTGGAAGCGTCAGGCAGTAGTGGCATCCAGTGTTCAGTGGAGCATAGACAGTAATAGCCAGCATTTGAACTGATATCAAGAGAAGTTGAACGGATATAAAGAGCAGTTGAACGGATATCCAGAGAAGTTGAATGGATATCTAGAGTTCATTCGAGCACGGCAAGCAACAATCAGCAATTGAATGGATATCCAGAGCCAAGTCTAGTCAGTAACTTCCATAGTGCAGCAGCGTAACTCAGAGCGACTGTAAAAGTAGCTGAGTACTCTTTGTCACTGAAACAGTCAACAGAGAGTTCCACACTGGAGTCAACAGTAGCCATCATTCCTCTACAGTATCCTATTCAAAACGAAACACTCAGGGAGTGCTGGTAATATTTCATGTATGGTGGATAGTAGAAATAAGTAATGACCATTGATGTGTAGGTACTATAATAATACCTCAAAGGAAGGGCATTAGTTATAATGTCCCGAAATTTCCCGTGGCAGATAGTGGCCTGATGATCACTGTCTTTCAAGAGGTGCAGTCCACCATAAAAAAATGAGCTAAAACTTATTTGATATTAGCCATGGTATCAAGGGAAAATGTCGGCTAGTCTAGGTCACCTTGGGCTAATTCCTGATTACAGGTCCATAGGAAGACTCCAGTGGATATTACTGAAGCTAACAAATATCCTCAGCATAATCAGAATAATATTTAAGCTACCTAGACCGTTCAGAAGACGTAGAGCAACTCCATCTTTACCCTGAAAACATGAAAGCCAAATATCTAATCTGTATAAGAGAGTAACTTACTTGTGTTGAATATACAAAAGGAATCGTAGAATACATGTGTCATAAGCACACTTTGAGAACAGTGTCAACATTAGAAGTTCATGGCTCTAACATTTTACTATAATAAATATGTTAAAGCAGTGAATCAATAACAACACTGAGACTAGCTGAGGATTCGAACTCGTGTTGTTTTGGTCCGCCTCATGGTGAGCGGAAACCACATGACGCTCTAATCCACAGGATCACGCAATTCTACAAGAATCAAGCATAGGTTAGGTTAGGTTAGGTTATGTTAGGTTAGTAGTTAAGGTAATGTTAAAGTAGTGTTCGACACACCGTGAAGGCAGTAGTGGGGACATTGGTGGTTTCTATGAAATGTACCACGACACTGGTGGTAAAGAGGTGTTTACACACCAGAAACAATGGTATTTTGTGTCAGGACGTAGATAGTGGTAATGCTGACACTGGTGGGGAAGGTGTTGCTATCTATGAAGTGTCTTAGGACAGATGACGGCAAAGTAGTTTTGACACACCATGAAAACAGTGGTGGGGGAGGTGCTGCCATCTGTGAGGAGGATGACGGAACATCGAGGCTGCCATGTTCTGGCTGCTACAGACGCCACACTCGCCCCTGCCACCCTCAGCGTCTCCTCCAAACCTAAAAGTAAAAGTAACCTGAAAATTTCATAACTGAAATATTACTGACATCTTTCTAATAATTAAATTTACACGTAACATCTTACATTTTTTATTATAACATTATGTCATATAATTTTGAGGGTAGACATAATGTAATGTGATTTATGTCCTGCAAGATCTGAGAAAGGTATTCCCCGTTAATTCAGGGAAATACAATTTTTATAATAAAATTGGCAAATTATGACTTACCATCTCATTACATAAATTCGAATGAGAAGAATATACGAACGATGAAAATTTCAAGCTGAGCGGTACATTGATGGGTGTATAAACCCATCTGAGTTTTTTCTGTTTTCTTATCAGTCCTGATTCTTATATTATTTAATCTCCATGCGGAAGGGGAGAGGAATCCTTCCCTCACAACCCACAACACAAAATACAGCAGAGATAAATTCTTAACCCACGTACTCATTCACCGAATAACATAATTACATTATGTATAACGAATATTTACAAGATGGTACTTGAAAGCAAGAGATGCAGTGAGAACCATCTTCGAAGGAAGTCTGGCTATTCTGATCCACGAGTTGCAGACATCGTTTCACAGGATTGGTGGGCTTTCTTGTGATTGGCAGATGACCCAGTAATTATTACAGTAGGGCCCCGATTGCTGTACTCTTAATTGTCGGTTCACTGGCTGGGGTATCATACGTCGAATAAACTGTAACGTCCTCTTTGCATGGAGATGACAACGAGGTGATGGTAAAACAGCTTATCGCATGAAGATAACAACTGGGTAATTGGGATGACAGCAGGAAATGGAAGATGACACCATGGTGGTGGAAATGACGGCAGGGTGACGGGGATGACCTCAAAGTTATGGCAGAGTGAAGGAGACGACAGGAGCATGATGGAGGTGACAGGAACATGACGCAGATGACATCTGGGTGAAAGGAGTGACAGAAGTGTAATGGAGATAACAAATGGATGATGGAGATAAAAGTAGAATAAAGTTGACACCAAGTTGATGAAAATGAACGCACCGAGACTGGTATGACAGCAGGTGGAAGATGACAGCTAGGAGATGGAAATGACAGTTGAGTTAGAAAGCAGCAGGATGAGGGAGATGACGGAAGGGTGATATAGATGATAGCAATGTAGGGAGATGACAGGTGACAGAGTTGACAGAAGGGAGAGGAATATCAGGGAGATGACAGCAGGGTGACAAAAATGACAGCATGGAGACTAAGATAACACCAGGGTGACTAAGATGACAGCAGCGTGACTAAAATGGCAGCAGGGTGACTAAGAAGACATTAAGGTGAGGGAGATGACAGTATAGAGAGGGAGTTGAGAATAAAGTGAGGGAAGACAGCTCAACAGTTGAAGGTTCAATTTATGTTGGTTATAAGAGAGAAAAAGACGGGTGTGTAGCTGGATGGGATAGTGAAGGATGGGTAATTAGGTTGATGGAGAAGTGACCAGGGATATACAAGGGTGATGGAGGGGTGACCAGGGTGATGAAGGGGTGACCAGGGAGATGGGGGATGACCAGGGTGATGGAGGGTGACCAGGATGATGGAGGGGTGACCAGAGTGATGGAGGGGTGACCAGGGAGATGGGGATGACCAGGGTGATGGAGGGTGACCAGGATGATGGAGGAGTGACCAAGGTGATGGAGGTGTGACCAGGGTGATGGAGGTGTGACCAAGGTGGTGTGACCAGGGTGATGGAGGTGTGACCAAGGTGGTGTGACCAGGGTGATGGAGGGGTGACCAGGGTGATGGAGGGGCAACCAGGGTGATGTAGGTGTGACCAGGGCGATGGGGGATGATCAGGGTGATAGAGGGTAACCAGGATGATGGAGAAGTGACCAGGGTGATGGATGGGTGACCAGGGTGGTGGATGGGTGACCAATGTAATGAATGAATGACCAGGGTGATGGATGGTGACTGATGTGATGGACGGATGACCAGGGTGATGGACGGGTGACCAGGGTGATGGACGGGTGACCAGGGTGATGGAGGGGTGACAAGGAAAATGGAGGGGTGACCAAGGTGAGGGATGGTGACCGACGTGATGGATGGGTGACCAGGGTGATGGATGGGTTAAAAGGGTGATGGATGGATGACCTAGCTAATGGATGAGGGACCAGGGTAATGGATGGTGACCAGAGTGATGGATGGTAACTGATGTGATGGACGGGTGACCAGGGTGATGGAAGGCTGACCAGGGTGATGGATGGGTGAACAGGGTGATGGGTGACCAATGTAGTGAATGGGGGACCAGGGTGATGGATGAATGACCAGGGTATGGATGGTGACCGATGTAGTGGATGGGGGACCAGGGTAATGGATGGGGGACCAGGGTGATGTATGGTGATGGATGTGATGGATAAGTGACCAGGGTGATGGATGGGTGACCAGGGTAATGGATAGGGGTCCAACGTGATGGATGGTGACCGGTGTGATGGATGGGTGACAAGGGTAGTGGATGGGCGATCAGAATGAGAGATGGGTGACCAGGGTAATGGTTATGTGACCAGGGTGATGAATGGGTGACCAAGGTAATGGATGAGGGACCAGGATGATGGATGGTGACCAGGGAAATAGATGAATCACCAGGGTGATGGATGGATAACCAGGGTGATTGATGAATGACGAGGGTGATGGATGGATGACCAATGTAATGGATGGGGGTCCAGGTTGATGGATGGGGGTCCAGGGTGATGGATGGTGACCAGTGTGATGGATTGGTGACCAATGTAATGGATGGGGGTCCAGGGTGATGGATGGTGGTCTAGGGTGAAGGATGGCGACAGGTGTGATGGATTGGTGACCAGGGTAATGGATGAAGGTCCAAGGTGACGGATGGACGTCAAGGTGTTGGATGGTAACTGGTGTGATGAATGGGTGACCAGGGTGATGGATGGGGGTGCAGGGTGAAGGATGGTGACCGGTGTGATGGATGAGTGAACAGGGTAATGGATGGGTAATCAGGGTGATGGATGAATGACTAGGGTGATGGATGGGTGACCAGGGTGATGGATGAGTGACAAAGGTAATGGATGGTGGATCATGGTAATGGATGGTGACCAGGGTGATGGATGAATGACCAGGGTGATGGATGAATGACCAGGGTGATAGATGAATGACCAGGGTGATGGAAGAATGACCAGGGTGATGGATGGATGACCAGGGTGATGGATGGATGACCCAGGTGATGGATGGATGACCTGGATAATAGATGAATGACGAGGGTGATGGATGAATGACCCAGGTGATGGATTGATGACCTGGGTAATGGATGGATAACCTGGTGACGGATGGTGACCGATGTGATGGATGGGTGACCAGGGTAATGGATTTGTGACCAGGGTGATGGATGGGTGAGCAGGGTGATGAATGGGTGGCCAGGGTGATGAATGGGTGACCAGGGTGATGAATGGGTGACCAGGGTGATGGATGGGTGACCAGGGTGATGGATGGGTGACCAGGGTGATGGATGGATGACCAGGGTGATGGATGGGTGACCAGGGTGATGAACCGGTGATGAAGGTGATGGTAATAGTCAGGTGTGGTGGCAGCCAAGTCTGGTCTAGTCAGATGTGGTCGCATCTAGAAGTGGTCATTGTCAGGTGTGGTATCAATCAGAAGTGGTCGTAGTAACGTTTAGTCATAGTCAGGAGTGGTTATAGTCAGGTTTAGTCACAATCAGGTATAGTCATAGCCAGATTTATACATAGTTAGGTTTAGTCATAATCAGGGTTAGTCATAATCAGGACCTAACAGTCACATAGTTAAGGGCAAGTCAGGGATGTGAAGCCACAACTTGACCACTCTGAGCAGTGGTTGTCTTGGTAGGTGTAAACACAACGACCTTGATACACTCGATCCTAACTCCCCAGCGAAATTCTCACCCTGGATTGGTGACCAGGGTAATGGATGGGTGACCAGGGTGATGGATGGACGACTATATGAATGGATGGATAACCAGGGTGATGGATTGTGACTGGTGTGATGGATGGGTGGCGAGGGTGATGGATGGATGACTAGGGTAATGGATGGGGGTCCAGGGTGATGGATAGTGAATGGTGTGATGGATGGGTGGCCAGGGTGATGGATGGGTGACCAGGGTGATAAATCAATAACCCGGCTACTGGACGGATGACCAGGGTGATGGATGGGTGACCATTGTAATGGATGGGGGAAAAGGGGAATGGATGTTGACCAGGGGGATGGATGAATGACCAGGGTGATGGATGGTGAACCGATGTGATGGATGGGTGACCAGGGTAATGGATGGGTGACCAGGGTAATGGATGGGTGACCAGGGTGATGGATGGGTGACCAGGGTAATGGATGGATGTCCCGGGTGACGGATGGATGACCAGGGTGATGGATGGTGACCGATGTGATGGATGGGTGAAGAGGGTAATAGATGGGTGGCCAGGGTGATGGATGGATGATCAGGATGATGGATGAGTGACCAGGGTGATGGTTGGGAATGACCAGGGTAATGAACTGGTGATGAAGGTGAAGAACACTTGAATTAACTAACATAGTAAGTTTATTCAGGTATACACAAATACATTATTATTATTATATTCAAAAAGAAGCGCTAAGCCACAAGGGCTATACAGCATACACAAATACAGTTACATAGATTATCATACATAGCAGCATATGTGTAGAGAACCTAGGATAACCCAAAAAAGTCAGGCAGAATGACTTATTTCCATTGGGGTCCTTTTACCTTATTATTATAATATAAAGGTTATAATATTTTCTTATTATTCTATAATGAAGATAACATCTTATTATCATACTAAAAAGACTATCTACTACACGAGGGTCATTAAGACTATCTACAATACGAGGGTTATTACTAGGAATAAGGTAAAATTTACACGTATGTTAGCTAAAAAATAGAAAATCATTCCCCCCTTTCTGTTGCTCCATTCATCAGACACCTTTTGGCACTCTTCTTGAACTGGTTTATGCTATGACTGGCTTGACA